AGCAGGAGATAGAGAATGATAATATATTACTTCATATTACTTCAGGCAGACTTGCAGTAGAGTTTGTATCAAGGGAGACAGCATTCTCTGAAAAGAGTAGCACATTTTGATGATGAAAAATTTCAGGGGCTACTTGGACCAAACATTCAAGTGGTTGTAAAAGTTGAATAATAACCAAGGCTTAATTTCTCTAGTCTGTGAATAAGAATGAGATCTATCTATCTATCTATCTAGATATCTGTCTAGTAAGACAGTACTAAACCCCAGGAAAGCGGTATTCTATTGTATTAAATTTCTAATGGTTGTACTAGCTAATGCATGTTGAGGAAAAATCTTACAAGTTATGTTGTTTTCCTTTGTGTAGATATTTGAGACTTGCCCCATATTTACATAGTGTACTTGAATAGGGTAGATACAATGCTAGTATATAACTGCTCTGCCATTGCTTTTTGAGAACACTTGTGTGTGATCACTTGTGATCAGTTATAACTGCTGATGTAATAGTATTGACTTCGAAAAGTTTCAAAACTCTGCTATGTGGTTAACCAGATAAGCCAGACCATGATAGCATGCCCAGTTTACATATGAAATTATTTACTGTAATGCTTTAAAATCTATCTTTACAAGTGTGTTGGTTTTGTCTGGGGTAGAATTAACTTTCTTCACAGTAGCTGGTGTGGGGCAGTGTTTTGGATTTGTGCTGGAGACAGTGTTGGTAGCTCAGGGATGATTTAGCTGATGCTGATCACTGCGTGCACAGAGCCAAGGCCTTTTCTGCCCCTCACCCCACCAGTGAGCAGGCTGGGGGTGCACAAGGAGTTGGGAGGTGACACAGCTGGGACAGCTGATCCCAACTAACCACAGGGATATCCCACACCATATGGCTTCATGCTAAACAGTAAAACTAGAGGGAAGTTTGGCTGTGGGGCTGCTGTTCAGGGTCTGTCTGAGCACTGGTGGTGAGCAGTTGTTTTCATTTACATCGCTTGTCTTTCTTGGGGTTTATTTACCTCTTTGTTATTTTCATTTTCATTACAATTATTATCTTTATTTGATTTCAATTATTAACGTATTCTTAACCCATGAGTTTTCTTACTGTTATCGTCCAATTCTCTTCTCCCTTGCCCCCATCCCACTGAGGTGTGTGGTGCTTAGCTGGGGGCTGGGGTTAAACTGGAATAGCGAACAACGCTATTTCTTCTTTCTCCAACCTAATCTTGAAATCATTGTTTCCTACAGGCAGATATCTGGTCATTAGGCATAACAGCCATAGAACTGGCAAAAGGAGAGCCACCTCATTCAGAGCTACATCCAATGAAGGTTTTGTTCCTCATTCCTAAGAACAATCCACCAACACTGGAAGGAAACTTCAGTAAATCCCTCAAAGAATTCGTTGAAGCCTGCTTAAACAAGGACCCAAGCTTTGTGAGTTTCATGTTTGTCAGTGTATGGTAGAGAACTTAGCTGGTTTATATGAATTACACCAGTAAATGCCATTTAGTGTGATGTATGTGACATGCATTTCTTTTAGATACTGTATACATTTAAAATCTCATTTGTATCAGGACTGATGTCTGGATTTCTTTATGCTTAACACTATTAAATGCAGTAAAAAAATGATTTTTTTTTTTTCCTCTTTTAGAGACCTACTGCAAAGGAGCTCTTAAAACACAAATTCATTTTACGAAACTCAAAGAAAACTTCTTACCTGACTGACCTCATTGACAGGCATAAGAGGTGGAAGTCTGAACAAAGTCATGACGACTCCAGTTCTGATGACTCAGACACGTAAGTTTGAGTCTGTAAAATATCCTTTGTGAATACAGGAGCCAAGTATCTATTTTTAGCACATATATTCCTGTATTCTGTTATTTATAGCTTTCAGCTTAGCTGCCTTGGTAAACTAATGACATCTTAGTTTCAGTATTGCAAGGGATTTCATGCAAGTAACAGTCACTGAGAACAATTCTGTCTCATATTCTGTACTGCATTCTTTTTTTATGTAGGGTCTAGGGTCCTTCCTAGGCATAAGGCCAGTGGTGGTACAAGCAGAAGGTAGACCAAGTAGCACTGTACAAATGAAAACCAAGTTGAAGGGATTGCCATGATTTATTCACAAATGGACTAGATCTCTCACAGTCAAGAAAACGATTCTCTGCAATTCTGGGCTGGATATTTCTTGGATGACTTTACAGCTGTGTATTTGTTTACATTATTAGTGGCTTCATGCCTTCCAGTGCTCACAGTTCCAGCCCCAAAGTAAGGCTGATGTAGAAGGTTAATTACAAGTCCTAAAACTGTTTTTGGATAAGTTACTAACAGAACTTTGAGCTCTTCCTGTGGAATGTCAGAACCTTTGCTCGCTCGGCATAGGAGAGTAAAGGAACCAGAACCGTTACTGAGTGCTTGAGAGACAATTTAATGTTCTTTCTAAGCCTGCTTTCCCTCCTCTGCTTTCACAACAGTTCTTGTATTAGATATGATAAAAGGATGAGTTTATTTGGTGTGCTGGAATACTTAAATTTTCAAATCAATAAACTTTTTTTCTGTTGGATCAACTTACTAGAGTATATGTGTACAAGGAAGGTCGACCTGCCTCTTTTAGTGACAACCAGAAGTTCTGTATGACTTCATGCAGAAATCTTGGAGAATTTTCTTACTCTGGTCACATGCTTTTTCAACTTGGTAGGCTGCACTAAATACTTTTTATACAATGGCCACTTGATATCGTTTCAGTTGGTGTAGATTTTTTTTCAAATCATGCTTAATCCACAAATCAAAAAGAAATAAATTATGGAGCATATTTAAGGTAGTGATAGGAGAAATGTATTGCAGTGATTGATTAGTGTCAACATAAATATTTTTGTTCTTTTAACTTAGCAGGAATTATAGAAAAATTACTATGTCATCCTCAAAACAAATAAGGCAAAAGATTGATTTGTGGTGATGTAGTTTATTAAAGCCATGCTGTATCTGTATTTCTTAAGTCATTTTTTTGGAAGTGGGAAATTTACCTTTCTAGCAGGCTGGGAATAAACTGTCTTCCTGGAAGGTATTCCAAGCTACTTTTCAAGGCAAAAGTGAATGAAGTCTTCTAGTTTACCCACCCCCTCCCTAATAATTTGAGATATATACTCTGTTTCGAGGTAGCAATAAAACACTTCATATTACTTGTTTATGTAACTTTGAAAACATTTTCCCATCTGTAATGCCTCTCTTCTTTCTTGAAGTTAATTTAACATTTAGTGAAGTATCTTGTTTTAATTTTTTTGATTTCCCCAAACTATAAACTACATTACTTTTCATACTTGTCTTTTATACTTAGTGGCTTGTACAGTGAAATCCTAATCTTGGTCTTGACTGTAGATTTTGTTTAGCATGTTATATTGAATGAACATCAACAGTATGTACAGGCAATAAAAAATTATTTATTTATTTATTTTCCCTCCCTTGAAGTGAAGCAGATGGTCAGGCTTCAGGTGGGAGTGATTCAGGAGAGTGGATCTTTACAATAAGAGAAAAAGACCCCAAGAATCTAGAGAATGGAGCAGCCCAGCCTTTGGAGTTGCAAAGAAATAAGGTGCTCGAAATATTGACTGTATAATACAAGGAGATAATTCTTGCTTTAATAATTTAGTGGGGTGATTTTTATTATCTGCCTTGAAAAGCATTTATATTGTGAAATTTTCAGATTTTGTGCTAAAAATGAGTGTTCTACAGTTGCCTTTCACAAAATGTTTTGAGTAAGTCTTGAAGTTTGTGTACTCTGTAAATGTGTTCTTTTTCTGTAGTTCACAAAATAGGTACCAAAATATTTCTGTAGTTGGTGAAATATTACCACTGAAGGAAGACTAGGCAATATATTGTATTTTTTAAGTATTCTTTCTGTATAGTAAATGCAAACCAGCACAGTACAGATCTAGGCTGGAGTTTTGGGGAAGGCATTTTGGTCTTTTAGGGAAAAATACTACAATGTAGCAAAACCCAGAATGTGCCTGTGCCTCCCAAAAATCCCCAAACAACCCAGAATAAGGTATGTTTAGTTGCTGCTCCACTGTATTTTCTGCAACCTCTGTGGTTAGGGCAGGTGGTTGCTATGCTGGATCTGAAAATGCTGTGTGCTCATATCAAATTGGGAGAAATACAAGGAAAACTATCATATGGGAGGAACAGAGTAAATACCAGCATGTCTATGATTTAGTACATGCTCAGTAGGATTGTGGGGTTTTTTTTGTTGGTTTGTGGGGTTCCCCTCCCCCACTTCTAACTTTGAGCTTGCATGTGTTCGAGGTGCTGCAGCCTCAAATTTTAATTCAGCCTCTATTTTCCACAGTGCTTAGGAACAATATGTTGTAGAACATTTTACATATCTGTATATACATGGAAACAGAGTTTTCACCAAGTGTAGCATGTTGGAACTGTATTTTGTCTTTAATTACAATACAATGAGGGTGCTTTTGCTTCTGAAATAAAATCAATCCGAATTTTCTTTTCATTAAAGGAAAAGGATATCCCAAAGAGGCCTCTATCCCAATGCCTGTCTACAGTTATATCCCCTTTATTTGCAGAGGTAAGTTACTGCTTTAAAGCTTAACAATTCCAAGATTTATGTCTCTGAAAAAAATAGAAAAAATATGATGAATGACACCAAAGGTTGCTACAACTCATTTTGAACGTGCTGTGTTAAGTTTTTGCTGTGCCCATTGCTTTCACACGTGTCCGCTTTTGTGATCTTTGTTCTGCTTCTAACAACATTCCTGTGTGTGGTAGTAACATCAAATACACTGCCTTTAAAGCAAGGAACATGAAAAAGAAGGTATGTAAATGTTTGTATTGCAGCATTCTATTTTTGACACTGCTTTATGTATTTACCCATTAAAAATTTCAAGATCTTCACTGTTACAAGATATGGCTGTGGATGAGATCAGCAAGAAATTCACTTTTGAATTTCGGTGTTTAAAACTGTATTTCGTTCCCTTTCTGAATTTTGCGTATTTTTTTTCAAAAATACTTGAAAACAACTTTGCAAAAGAACATATGGAGGGGGGAAGCCAGACACTTATGAAGACATGATTATTTAAGAAGTTGATAAAACTCCTGCAGTGTATGTGTGCCAGCTATAGGTGTGCCACTATGTATACTGAAGTGAGTAATTATAAGCAGCACATCTTGAAACCAAACAGCTACAGATGAATAGCACTTCTTTCTTGGGATGCTTTGTCGTGATTTTATGAGCACGAACACGCTGAAAAGGATGTGTGAAGATTGAAGACTTGTGAAGATGAATGACATCCTGATAACTACTGCAAAAACTTAACTTCAGGATGAATAAGTGTCTACAGTATCTGAGGGTGTATGATGAAAGTCAAATCCTGACATTGTGAATACTGACAGACACTTCCTAACAAGCTTCTGCATTATATTGTGTATAGAAATATTTATGGATGTCTTAATATATTTCTTCCTGGTTTTCTTTCAGTTGAAAGAGAAGAGTGAAGTGTGTGGTGGTAACACAGATTCCATTGAAGAACTGAGAAAGGCAATTTATTTAGCTGAAGAGGCTTGTCCAGGCATTGCAGATAACATGGTGTCACACCTTGTGCAGAGGCTTCAGAGGTAATGAAAGTATTTCACTATGGGTTACAGAAAACGGCAAATCTGATTCCACAAACATTTGACCAGTGTTAAATTGAAAGAATTAATTTCTGTTTCTAATAGAGAAGAAAACCACTTGTACTTACAGTTTATGCAATTGTTTGCTTACTACAAAAAAACCATTATCTTAGAAGCAGTTCTAGTTTTTAGCTTCAGGTGACAGAACATATGTATGCTCATCCTGTTGGTGTGCATACTGTGTGTCAAACGAGGCTGGACAGCCTTTGCCCTTTGCAGTTCACATATGCTGTCTTAGTGTCTGGGCATATGTTGCAGAGAAAGCTCTGTGTCACTCTCAGTTTCTTTCACCTATTTGGATAATTTGACTGTTCAGTTGTTCTGTGTTTCTTTCAGTCACATAGTCAGTGGTTCCTTGTTCATTCATTAAAGACAGTCTGTATGGCCTTTCGATGGTACCTCCAAAACCAACATTTGTCCTTCAGAAGGGCAAATTTCATTTGAGATTTCCCAACTGCTTCAGTTAGGAATATATTCTCAACAAACATTCAGTTTTCAGTTCTTTTGAATGCTACGCAAGAAGAGATGAGGGGTATAAATGTCAGAGTTGCTTCCTGAAGAGACTTTCAGTGCAACCTTGAATCCAGGAGAGCACAGCTGTTGTGAATCTTATACCAGCCAGGTTGGATTGCTCGATACTAGAAAAAACTCATGGCAATGATTGATCATGGACTACTACACTGAAAAAGATCACTCTGAGCAGGTGTCTCCTTTGCACAGTCTCCAACCACAGCTTGGTAAAGTTTAAGAATTCACACCTCTGATGTTAAAGCAGAGGGTTGCCAGGCTGACACTTTCTCATTCAGTAAAAATCGGTGCCAAGAAATCTGCAAGGAATAGTGTTCCTTTCTGGGCTGTTAAGAATGAAGCCCAGTCAGCACCTCTAGTGCTGAAAGGTTACTCCTAATGCCATATGTCCTGTCCTATTTCGAGTTTCTGGAGCTTCCATCTTGATTTGTTTCCTTTAGGGGTTCCAAAATTGACTCCAGGCTTTCATCAACTCAAAATTTCAGTGTCATATTTCTACCAGCCTGATACAGGACCTTCCTGGAACTGGGAACCTCAAAGACTTGATGTTGCAATTGAAGCTGAAAAATGACCATGTGGAGACAAGATTTCCACTGGGCACTTTTGGGGATGCTGGAGCTGATCTTACTTGTTCCTGTCACAATGGCAGCAGTCACTATTTTTGTCCTAAGAGAAAGTTTTCAGAACTCTTCATATACCTATTTAGCATCTTGTTTTCCTTCTGTTCTGCTTCCTTGGACTGTTTTTCTTAGTCATAATGTCTAAGAACAGTGGAGACAGGCACTTCCTTTTCTTCAAAGGAGAGGAAAAAATATTCATAGAGAATGTTTGTTGATGGGACACATCTGGGTGAACTTTCTTGTTTTCAGGGACATGTTCAGCTAGTATATAATCATGACTAGCACTCCTTCCAGAAAGAGAATGAAAGAAATGAACGGCAGGATCCTCCACTAAAAACGAGTTTGGACCATTCCATAGCATAGATTTCCCTTGTGGATAAAGCTGGAGCTAGTCAAATTTGGAAAAGATTAGTTTCTTTTTTGAATGCTATGGGAAATATGCTCTGTTTTATCATAAAGTCATTCACTGTATGCACAATATCCTCTAATTTGATAGCTCATTCCTGACAATACATTTTCAACGTGTTTCTAATGACATTTTCATTCCTCTTGTGATGGATTAAGACTGGATTTTGCAAGTTTGTCTGAATCAATTAACTGGGACCCTCAGAAATTCTGACCAGTAACTTGAGTGAATCTAGTTAGCTTCTTCCTTCAGTTTTGATCTTGGATGTTTGATAAGGATTACTGAAAACTTAACGTGATTTAAATGTGCTTCTGTCTTTGAGTTATTTAAGAATCTGCTTAGATCAAGAAATACAGGTTTCCTGTCCCAGTAACATTTTGAAAAGATTAAGATGCAAACTCACAAAGTAGGAGAGTTGGAATCACTAAGTATTACCCACACTATACAGAATTCTTACATCATTATATCGTACTCACTTGAACACAGGTGGTTGCAGTTTGTTAGGAGAGCAGTGATAGAGCAGTGATAATCTATTAAGGTGCATTTCACATGTTCAGTTTCTTTAAAGTGTGGCAGCAGTGGTGGGTACCATTGTGCGAAGAAAAGCTGGAACTTCAGCAGCATAAAATGCACTAACTTTTTATTGCTGCTTGTTGTAGAATGCCTCTCTGAAAGTCACAACCATAAATATCTCTTTTCCCTCTTCAGATACTCACTAGCTGGCGGAAGTTCTTCATCCTACTGACGTACTCTTCCTGACTTTTCTAAGACAACAGCGATCCCACGGTGTCTGCGTTGAAGGCACACACCCTAATGTTGTTCTGCCCCTCAGTCTCTGGGATGTCCTTCAGTGGAAGGACATTCCTACATGTGCAAGAGTGAAAATGCAGTCTCTAGGATGGAGGCAGTCTTTTTCTGCTCCTTAAAGCTATAATTTTTTTAAACGATAATGCACATATTCCAGGGAGGTGTCCTTTTGTAGAATCTGAAATGTATATTTAGGTTTGTGATAGAGAAATTGAAGATATTGAGAAACCTCAGGTATCTTGCTTTAAGAATTCCACTGGGAGATGGAGCATGGTTGTTGGAATTGTGTACAGATATGTATATAATGTCTTTTTTAACAGAAAGCCTTTCAACGTGCATAAGGAATCACTGTGTACAAAATGGTAAAGTGCTTTTGTAGATAATGTTAGTGGGGTAAATATTTGACAGGCCATTACTGAGTATTGCCTTGCCTTTATTACATGTAAAGTTTGAATTATGTGATAAGTGAATCTTTGTTTGATTTTTGTATGTGAAGTATTTGCCATTGGAAGAGTTAATCCTGTACTATGGAACCTTCTGTTCTTACCTCAGCACAGACACAGTTTTGTTCTGTTTCTCCAGCATTTCTTCCTTTTTTATCTATATACTAAGCATGACTTTTAATTAAGGTACTAATTCTGGTTGTTTTTAATTTGATACACCTTCTCTCTCAAAGCTTTAAATTACTGTTTTTCCTAAAGTATGAGCTCTTTCATATCTTCAGTTTTAAAATGTGCCAATGCAAATTCTGAACCCTATCATTCAATTTTAGTACCAGGTATTCGTGAAGCTTATAGCAAAATTTAGATGCAAACTTTTTTTAACCTAAACATGTTCGAATGCTCACACAAATGAATCTTTATTCCCTTCATTTATTCTGAAACAGCTCATTAAGGCGTTGACTCTGAGACAGTGGCAAGTATTTCTTCATCATGCCTATTTTTATCATTCAAATGAATGCCTTGCAGTATAAAAGAAAAATTACCCATCGATTCAACATTTGGTCTTGCTGCCTTGATCTGTGCATCTCTTTACCAAAAGTGACAGACATTGGACAGAGAGACTGCAGATCTAGGCCCAGCTATTGTGTCCTGGGTTCCATTGCTTGCCTCCCCAGAGAAGGGTTGTTTACTTGAAAATTCTGAATTTTGAAAAATTTCCACTGTTCCTGTGAGGGCTTCTAGACAGCTGACTGCAGGTTTCGTAGATCTTGCAAATAGTAACAATAGTTCATTAGTTATGTGCACAGTTGATTAAGTAGCTGTTGGTTGGATTTTTTCCCCCCACAGTAATACTCTGAGGTTTACCTTGGTTTGCTTCAGGTGCTTCATATTCCAGTAGCTAAGAGAGCATTTTTGCCTTCTTTTTAATGAAGAAATTGATGGTTTTATGCTTCGCACGATCGTGAGGTAACTTACCTGTTTACTTTTTTAAAAACAATATAGATAGGAGCTTTGGAACAGAAAGGATTAACATTTAAATATAGGCATATCCACCTGGCTTGGTAAAAAAAGGCCCAGGTTTGCTAACCATTCTGGGAGCTGGTGAGGACTCCTTGCAGGACTTTGTATCACCGTGGTAGCCCTTAGTCTATGCATATTAGCCTTAATTTATTAATTTAAGAATTTACCAGTAAGAGGACACTGTCTTGCTAGCAGAGCTAGGAAGCTCCTGCCCAGGTTGAAACAGCAGTTGAAAGAAATGGGTGTATGTGCACTCGTTGTTGTGGCCATGCTCGTAGACACAGCACATATGAACAATACATAAGTTTGAGCAATGTTTTATACCTCCTCTTTGATTCATAACTTTAATCACGGTCTGTGCTCTTAAATGTTAAGGACAGGCTCACTCTCGAGGAAACAAATTGAGCACTGCTGTTGTGAAATGTGCATCTGAATATGGCACAATGGAAAATTTACCTGTTGCAGTCTCAGTGTTAGAACATTCAGCCCTTCAGTAGATCTGTGTACTGTCTCAGCACATGGGAACCAGCAAGTGTGTTTGCACTGGAAATAGGAATTCATTAAGCTGTTCCCTAGTCACCTCTTAATGTAAGGAGTGGAAGTTAAAGTGAGCTTACTTGGAGATGCACAGAACTTGCAGACATAGTGGAGAAGTTAAATTTATGGTGCCAGCTTGAATATGAAGAATTTCTCAATCAGCAAGTTAAATTAAATTCTGGGGTACACTCTTTGAAAACTCATTTGAAAAGTTACACATACATGTTTTGAGTTGCATTTTAGTTGTGTTCCAGGACTAAATGTTGAAGAAATACTTCTCTGAGTAGATGGTGACAGAATTTGTGTGATGAATGTGTTAGAGCTTAGGATGAGTAAGACCTACAGCAAGGGCAACTGGTCAGAAAGGCTCAGGCATTTAGAAGAAGACAAGACCTCATTTATGGTAGAGATGTGTATTTTTATATGTAATATATAGATTATTTAAATATAGACTATCTTAAACTGAGATTCACTAAAAAAAAAGCGTGCTGTATCTTGAATGTAGAAGTACAATCATTTGCTATTGAAAAGTATTGATGCTTTAAAAATCAGGTCTATTGGTAACAGAAGGGGAGCTTCATTTGGAAGAAGCACAGCCTCAGTTTCTGAGAGAAAAAGTGTAATGATATTTTTGAGGTTGTTTCATGCTAAAAACATGTCTGTGTTCTGATGTTGCACTGATGATTTTTCTGTGCAGGTAGTACTTCACTCAGTCTTGACTATACTAAAAGACAAGCTATTTATGCAAACATTTAAATTAGTAGAACTGCTTATTTGTCAGGGATTTCATGATTAGGCAGTAAATAAATTCACTGTTTAAAAACAATAAAATCAGTTATTTGAACTGAAGGCTTGCTTTTTGTAAGTATCAGATGTGTAATCTATTTTTTTAACTTAATTTTCCTTGCAGTTGCACTTTGAAGTTGATGACCAGTTTACTAAAGGATGATGGCATGATTGCTAGTGTACAGAATGCTTTGGTGTAGCAACGAAGCAGCTCTTTCTCTGAAGTGCCACAGCTCCTCTGCAGCTCCAAACATTCTGTGTGTGTACAGACAAACCAATTACTGTGGAATGATCTAATTGGGGTGTTCTGCCCCTGCTGTGCAGGAGGGGTGAGTGGAGGGGGAAGGTAAGGCTGGGTGAGTTGGCACTTCAGTTCAAAGCAGCTGGCATGGTGCGAGTCCACATCCTACTGTAGCCACTGTCACCCCTTCATCTGCCCTTTAATGTGCTTTTAATGTACTTGTGCAATGTCTCCTTTAGCTCTCACTACTTTACGTGACGTTCTGTATTACTTTTTAAGCAATGTGGTACCAGTTTGTAGTCCTTTTACATCGGCCTTACTTTGAAGGAAATGCATTTTTGCCTTCAAAATGTCACCACTGGAAGCTTATCAGGAGTGCTGATAGACACAGCGTAACGCAAGGATCAGCACAGCCGCAAATCGTTTTTGTAAGCTGCTGGGGAGAAGCTTAGGGTCTAGCACAAATCTGCCAGCTTGCTCTTTTTAACTGTGTTTTGCAGGTGTGCTGGTAACTGCACTGAGCATATGCTGTAGACAAATCGTTTGCAATGGTCTCCTGCTGCCGTTAAAGCATGACTCGAGAGGGCCACTGAAGTGTGTATCTATCTCGGTTTCTGTATCGTCGCTGCCTGTTTATAACTGTATTTAAACTTTTACTTTTGTCACTCTACACCAACATGATAAACCTCCTTGTAAACTACATGACCTAGAAATAAAGAAGGAAAAGTTTAATGAAATGTTGCCACCTGAGTGGGTCAGTATGATGAGATTTGTGCTCCCTTCCCAGGAGGGGATGCTCCTGTGGGTTTCTAGCACAGTTGCTGCCTGTGTGTCAGTAATGGTAAGCAGAAAGCTTATAAAGGTGTTCGGTTTTAATGGTCATCATCTCAGAATTTGTACCCTTTACAGATGGCAGTGATTTAAAACCCACTTTGTGTTCCCCGTCCTCCAGCCCAGGGGAACTGATGAAGTGCTCACATCCAATTGCATTAGCTCAGCCCTGAGCATCACACCTTTAACCACCCATGGAACTGGTGGCAAACTGTGTGGCAGCTGCACACCTGTCACTGTGCTTCATTACTATTTGCTGCTGCTAAAAACTATATGTGTGACATGCTGCAAATTATTTCTTTATCCCTACCAACTTTTCGGTGCTCCCAGGGCAGAGGGGATGTCTGTGTGCTCTAGAGCTCTGTACCTGCACATAGATAATTGTGTTTGCTTTTGAGGGAGAAGACTGTGTAATTGGTTCTGTATAATAATGGTCAGAATTGGGCTTTTCAGGTCCTGCTTGATTCTCTGGTGGGAATAGTATGGTAGGATATCATACCTGATTTTTGTCTCTGAAATGAATTTTTCTTCCTCTTTTCTTTTGTCAGAAACTTTTATCAAGATTTCTGCTGTCACAGCGTTTTTCCCTACCTACTAACTTGTCTTTCAGACTGTCATTTTTGGCAGGATTCAGCTGAATTTACAAAGGCATCAACACTGTTTAACTAAAATTTTGTGAAAAGAGGTAGGCCTGAGGTATATTAATATACACATCAGTGATGCTTAAATTAGTCATAGGGGGAAAAAAATAATCCACAGGAGTCCTTGCTGATCCCATTGCATGTGGTGCAAGGTCCTATGGCAATAAGAGTTCCTGTTTTGCTTTTATTTGTTCATTATTTGAAACCAGCAGCTCTTTCAGGGTGAGTAAAACAACACCAAGAGTAAATCTCCTAGTGACTGGTTTGATTTTTTCCTGCTGTTGAGTGGTGTTTAGTTGTGGCTAGTGCCCTGGCACATGGTGACTCTGCCTCTCTGCAGGTCCTGCTTGCCTAAACAGGCAGCACCATGATATGAATCAGGGTTAGAAATAAGTGGTTATATATTACAGCTTTCTAGGACACTGAGATTTATTCACACGTGGACTTTGACTGACTGCAAGATACAGCTGTCAAGAGATTTTATTCTTTCACCATTGTATTCAGTTTTGGGTTAAACTTGGGAGAACTAGAAAAATGCTGGTAAGTGAGAACAATTCACTTGGTTCCATTTAAAAAAAGAAAAAAGGAAATTAAAAAAAAAAACCCCTGGTAGAGAAGGAAAAAAATGTTATTTTAAACCTTTTGTCTATAGGAAAAAGATAATACAAAAAGGTGAGAGCAATGAATCAGGTAGATACTCTGAAGTTGCATCCACAACCACAGTTCGGTCTCTACTGTTATGATAAATAGCACTATATCTTGTTCTTTGCCTTATTATTTTCAAAATTTGCTTTGTATGAAAATGAAACATACTGAGAAAAGGTGCTACCTGATTTCTTTTGAGAGTTCAGAATAAACTACTGCAGCAGATAGCAGTAATGAAGACAGATTGTATCCAACAAGCCCTGGGGATCCAAACTAAAATTCAATTTCAGCTGAATTAAGGGCATGGCCCTCAATATAATTTCCATTAAAAAATAATCTTTACACTTTTACAGATAACAATTCTAAAGGGCAGATGCAGGGCCCTGGCTTGTAAGGTGTTGCAGATACTAATTTACAGCTCGTTAATAATTTCTGGGGATCAGATCTGCAGTGCTTTACTTCATAGCAACATCACATTCTGTTGCTTCTTCAGCTTTGTTTTTCCAGGCCCATAGGCTCCAGCTGAGTATTTGTTCATCTCTGCTGTGTTATTTCCTCTTTTCCTCACTACACAGATCGTTGTTCACATTCCTGGTCAGGCCTGAAGCACTGCAGATCCTGCATGGTTCACTGAGGTGGCTGAACTCACTTTGGCACAACAGTGCAGGCTCACAGGCTTGGAATGGACAAGGCAGTGGGACCTGCAACTGGGAAAAAAGGGCTTCAGCTTCTTTTACTTACTTTCTAAGTTTGTCCTTCAGCACATCAGAGCCAGAGGAAACGCTGTAGGGTAGGTGTGATTGTTACATTGGTACCAAGAGTCAGGGGCAATAGCTGAGGAAAAGAGCAACTTCACCAGGTTACCTGTCCAGGAGGCTGAAGCAAGTGCACTGAACTAGCTGTTTCCCTGTGGCAGGGTGCACTTGGATCTGTCCTAAGTGGCTGGGAGGTATGCAGGGAGCTTTGTCTGGAGTCAGGGGTGAGAGAAAGAAGGCTTCACGGTCTCAAAACAGGAATATGTACAATACTATTGTGAGGTATTTTATTCCCTTTTGTTGTGAGCAAAGCTGCAATATGCCATTTTATACATCGCACACAGGTAAGCCGTTAACAAAGCAAAGAGCTAGATGAAGAAAAAGTAGGGGTAGAATTGCCCCAGCCTTGTTTCCCAGATGGATGTTCAGACTCCCTCTACCTAGCACCACGAGTCCTCAAGGCCCAGAATGGCAATAGGTGTATTATCAGCACATAAAACTTCCATTAATGGAAGGTTTACGTCATCTTCATGACAAAGTGATTCTTATAGAATGAGGAAAAGCATCTAAGCATAGTAAAGGTAGTGCTGCAACCTTCTAAGTGGGCCACCAGCTTTTCCAAAATACGGTGCTAGCCGATGTTAAAGCCAGGGACACAAAATAGGTAGTTCTGCTGCAGGTTCTATCAGTCTCTCTCTGTACACTGAGTCCCAGGGGCGACAGGGAGACACTGAAATTCCAACAAGAAACTGAAAGCCAAGCTGGGATGTGTAGCAAGCAGGATGAAAACTTAGAGCTGCAGTAGTACCCCCTAGCTTGGAGCAATTTAGTTCCCGGAACGCTCTACAAACAAATCACAAGTAGCTGTGGTTCTTGTAGCATACAGGTTTTCTTTCAAGTTCGTAAAACAAACAGCAGAATGTCACCACAGCCTTTAATTTCTTCTTGTACATACCATTCACAGTACATTAACAGCCCAAATAATATTGCACTGGATTATTTTAAAATTTTTTCATCTTGCGAGTAGTATTCACTTTTCAAAGCCAACAGATGAACAATTTGGTCAACTTGCACCAAGAAAATAGTTAGCTAAGAATCCTATACTTTCTTTATACCACATGGATTTGTAACCCCAATGGGAAATGAGAATGAGCTGTAAACTGTTTCCTTGTTAAAGGTAGAAAATTAGTAAATCCGTGCTGATTAAATGTAGAAAGACTGGGAAAAAAACATGAAATCTCAGTTATCTCACTCCTGTTAGACCACTCGCTGTATATATAATTATATTCTATACTGTGAAAGTCCATCTACATTTAAAAATTCAGCAGTCTAACATGGTAAAAAAAAATATATATTTTTATGAAAAAAGAAGAAATAGTGTTTGCCTCAGAGGATAAAGTTTTCAGATTTCAGTCATCTGGGGTTTTTTTAGGTGCAATCTTTGAGGCAACAAAATGTCTTTTGGCATTTGGCACTCTAATAAAGGACAATATTTTAATACTGGCACAAGCTAAAAACAGCACAGAATGACAAAATACAAGACATGAAACGAACTGCAGCCACTGGGATGATAGTAAGCTAGTCTGAATACACGGAGAACTTAAACAGTTTTGCTGAGGAATTGTGAAAGTTTCTGCAAAACCATACTTATTCTCTTCCTTTACCAAATTGTAAGTTGTCCTAAACTTGGAGGGAGAAAAGAGTATCAAATGTCCTCTAGAAAATCAGCAGCTGCTGGACAATCGCCACGGCGGCTCGCTCAGCCGTCAATAGGCGTGAGGCTCTTTGTGACTCAGAGCTCGCGTGCGTGAGGCTGAGCTGGTGGCACTTCGGATCACTTCCATCCATCTGTGGGAGGGATGAGGAGAGACACAAACCAAACAACGCTCAATTCCCAAGGGAAGATTTCCTGAAAGGTATGGTCTGTACTATTGTACAGTTTAACTTTCAGTGCTTCTGGAAGCATCTTGCAATTTCACTTCTAAGTTTACCTGAAGTCAAGAGGATCCAAACAACTGCCAAATGCATATATGGAAGGAGTTTTAGAGGGGATAAACAGGGGGAATGATGGGACCCAAAACTCATGAACGTAGCAGTGGTTTTACTTGCTCTGCAGACACCAGATCTTTTTTTTTTTTCTGGATGGTCCAAGCAATGAGCAGTTGAGACCAACCACTCTGAATTTGAGAATGAAAAACTGTTAATTTAGCTGCAATTTCTACTTGGTTTTTTCCCAGAACTGAGAAAGGGATTTTGTGGGTTTTTTTCCCCCCTATTCTACTAATTTATTTATTCACCCCTTTTCCACAATTTACCTTATTTATAGTTTTAGACTGACATGGCTAAAACTTAAGAATACCTTTTTTTGATGAGGACATTAGGACTTTGACATGTTACTGCTTCATATAAAAGAGCTAAATTAGTTCCCAGTATGAACAACCACAAGCTACAAATTAGGAGGAGTAGTGCCTTTTTCCTGGCTCTCCATGTATCTGAAGCTCAGTGGGAGGTGTAAAAATTACATGCTGAAGTGGCATAAATATGTAGTAGGAACAGCTGCTTCTGTGAAGAATTGGAATTTTACTTCAGGTGTGGATTTTCCACCCAGTTGTACTAGAGGGAGTGAAGCTATTTGGGAGAGCTACTGAAGAGTCCTGTGATCTGTTCACATGCCTCCTGATGTCTGAGACCTAGAGCTCCTCATACAGCCACACTGATCAGTTTTGACTGGATAATTCCAGGTTTTGTGGTGATTACTATTATAGCTCCCACATAATCAAAACCAATTGCTTGGTTTTAGCAATATCAGGTTTAAAGTTTCTTCTACAACTTTAAAGGGTTCTTTCTGCAGTTGTGCTGAACTACTTGACTTATTACTGAACCAATTTATTGAACTTTACATCTATCAACCTTGCTTGGGAAAACACACCTGGAATTTGACAAAATTCCATCTCACAGAAGACCAACTTACCTTTCAAATGTATATTCACTTTCAGCCCTGAAGTAATACACATGGGATTTGAAATGTAGCTTGAATACATAATCTTTGTGAATGTTTTCAGATTCAGAAGGAATGGTAAGTGAATATCCCAATAAAGGAAGGCTGGCTAAAGGATGATTGTCCTGCAAAGAAATAATGGAAATTCCTGTGAGATCAAATGCTTTTAAGTAAAGACTGCACACAAGTAAAATGGAAGGCAGATACACACGCCTTTAAAAATGACTGCATTTCACATGTGTGTGAAAAAACACCAGATTTATACCATCACAATAAAATTAATTGTCTGGTGGTTCCAGTTGCCCATCATTACAGACCCTTCACCAAAGGATCTGTTGCAGGCTCCTCTTATCAATATTTCCCCAGAAGAAAGTTGGCCATTATCTTGGACCTTTACTACTTTCAAACTGATGAACATTAGACTTCCTCCCTTGCCATCATCAGGGCACCAGGAATGTTCATCCTCAGCTTGCAAACACCTACTCCTTTAGAGGTGTGCTGGCCACCCAGCAGCATTCATTGCCTAAGTCTCTTCACAGCATGGCATGTATGAACTAGTTATTTCTTTAGCCATCTTACATGTAGACTATCCTACAGCTCATTATTGACTCGTTAAGGATTTTTATCGCATTGAAAGTACAATGTAGCAACTCCAGTTGCTTTGTGCTTATGCCCTGCTTGAACAGAGATTCAAAAGCCCAACAGAGTCTAGAGACAGAAATCCCCTACTTTTGCAGTGGGATGCTTGCTCAGATGGATTCTATCATTGGCTGTTGTTCTCTCTTGTTTGACTAAGGCATTGGTAATGGTAAACAAAATTTTTAAGTCACTATTAAGATTTCAATTGTAATAATCTTAGAATCTATTTGAAGTAGCACCACAACTTCTGAGCAGCAGCGATCTCTGCTGTACTTTGAGGGGTGACCAGTACTGTGACTGCAGAAAGCTTCAGGAAAGAACTGACAAGGGAGCAGCCTGAGAACAGGCCCTGCTCTGTGCTCCAGCAGCAGTGCAGGCTGTGACCAGTGCACCTGCTTCTCTTGCCTACAGCATCTACTAATGATGTCCACGTTTCTCTTTGGAAAAAACCCAAAACATCTTCTCCAGCCACATACCCTTGCCCAGTCAGTTACCTGATGCGATTTATAGAAGAACATGCAGAAGTTGGTGAACACCACCCAAAGCTTCTGCCACCCATTGCTGTTTTTAAATTTTCTTAGGAGATTTCCAGACAGCTGGTTCTGAAACAGATCAAAAGTAGCCAAATAAAACAGTGGAAGGTACCTGCAGCTTAATTATTGTAAGAAAAATTATTTGCTCTTATCTCATTGTATATGACCTTGTACATGAAAATGCTTTGGTTGAATGGATGCATTTTTCTTCTGCATTGTCCTACTGCTAAGTAGTACTCTATCTAATGTATTTTTTTTTGTTCAGCTGGGTACTTCCAAAAACTTAAAGCTACTACACTAATTTGTTTCAATCAAGGTGGCTTTCAGTAGCATATTACTCAGCATCAGGCTTGTTAGACTAGTCTGTCTTTGTTCTTTTAGAATGATACTTAAATAGAATGGAAACAGAAAGTCTGACATGAATTTATGATGTAAAGGAAAATTATGACATACTTTAGAATTGCAGGTAGTGATTGAGCTCTCAGTACCCAGGGAGTTAACACAGGAACTTTTCAAAGATTTCAAAAACAAGGACTGTTAACCTTATTCTCAGCTGGATTTTGGACAGTTTGACAAAAAGGAGGAAGCTGTACCCAAGTACATGGATTTTATGGCTGGTTGGAGAAACTGCTCTTCACATAGTGAAGACATAAAGTGCAGTATTGGGCCTTGCAAACAAGGGGAATTCTTAGTGAACTATTAATGACTTCCCATTCCTTGTTGACTGTAAGGGCTCTCACCTGGATCAAAATAGCTGTTTACATCATTCTCTTTATATAATGCAGCAGCTGATAACTTTATCTGTAAAGCTTAATGGTCAAAATCTGGGGGTCCTGGTGTAGCTTCTACAAATGAAGTATCCTTAGAAAGCTCTGTTTTCACCAGCCTTGGATATGCATTAAAGCCTTTGCTTTAAGTAATCCCATTCTCTGATATCTGGACTGCTGCCTCCTTGCCCTAAGTTACAGGTGCACTCCTTAATTTTCTGTTACCTCATTACTCTGGAGGATATCATAAAAGGACAGGCTTTGCATTCGGTACCAGCAGACATATGAAATGGAAACAGGCCGCTGATCACTGATCAGTCCAGCAGGTAGGGAGGAACAGTCACTGACAGAGAGAGGATCTTCTACCACGAGAGACAGAAAGGAGGGAGAGACACAAAGAAAATAAACGATAATGCTGAAGTGAGAGGCACCGACAGAATGACATGAGCATGAGTGTAACCTGCCACGCATGGAACAGCAGTGGAGCTGAAGATGTTTTCACAGAACAACGTGTGTCTCCAGGGTGTGTTTGGTCTTCGCGGCTTTGTTTGCGTTCATTTGAGGCACGGGGAAGGAACAAGAATGAGGAACAATGAGCACTGATCTCACACCTAGTTAGATTTGCCTAACTAAATGTTTTAAGTGTTACAATGAGTCACTGGTTTATGTTTTGCATCTATTTATAACAAGCCCTCTCTTTTAGAGAAAAATATGAGCCCTTGTTCTGCGCTGAACTATTCCTCTCTTGCAGAATATAAGGGTATAAAGAGTGGAAAATCCACCTACACATGGGACTGAAAAGATCTCTACAGTCAGCATTTTCTAGTACAGAATAATTGCCTTTGTCATATTTCAGCAACAAACTCACCTTCTGTTTAAAAACAGAAGCAGTTACACAAACTATGAATACATCTGTCCTTGCATCTCTATGTTCTGCATCAGTACATCTTCTCTAGAGCAACGTTAGCCTGATGTCTGAGGGTTGCTGCTCGTGTGCAAGTCCACTCAGCTTTAAGATTCCTTTTTCTATTTTCATTGACCATAAATTTCCATTTGATGAGGGCTGTAATAAAGTACCCAGAGCTCCCTGGAGACTCTCTTGGGTGAAGGAAGAACACCTTAGCAGGCTTACCAGCTCATCCTAAAACCTACACTGAACTAGCAGTCTTTCATTTTAATCTCTGAAAGTCAATGTCTGCACCTCAGCTGTTGAGTACAGAGTTAATGAATGTGTATCAAACTGGCTTTGCTGTGATCAGAGGGGGGAAAAAAGGGGTTTTATTTTGAGGTGGAAAACGCAAATAAAGAAAAAGCAGATGAGACTGAGCAATGAGACAAGGTTCCAGAAAAGATGGCTAGGTAAAGAAAGTAAGTTAGTAATACACATAATTAAAACTCTGGCTGCAGCAGCTAAAGACAATATCCTTTCCGCTCGAGCAATGACTTAATGCCTCTGTAACTGAAAGCATTAAGACAGTTTGAACTACTTTAAATTTTAATGGGCATCAGCATGTTTTTGCACAGTTAATTCTATGAAAATTACTGCTCTAACTGATTTTACAGAGCTGCACTACAGGAGCAGATCCGTGCTGCATGAGTGATGGCTTGTGCCATCATTTGAGGATAGGGGAGGCAGTTTAATAGGCGTGCCTGAAACTTCCCCAGAAGGACACAGCAGAACAGTGCACTCAATGAGGAGCAAAAAGGAAATTGTCATCCAAAGCGAGCCTGGAGCTGCAGTTCAGGTGGTTCTGAGGCAGATACCTCCACAGCAATACTAAAGTCGATCATTGACACACTGGTATTTCTGTGCCAGCAGACGTGCACCGTAGTGTTGCCACGGTGTGGTGACTGACGCTCGAGAGAGGTGCGGGATGCACTGAGGTCGTCCTCAGATTCCTGGTCTACAGTAGTTTCATCAGGAGACTCTATGAAATGCAGGGAAAAAGCATCTTTCTTCCTCTATGCAACAACATATATAATTGGAAAAATTAAACAACTCAATTCTGTCCACAATGTTGTGAACTCATTTTAAAACACAATTTTAGAAATAATTTTGTGCAGATTTTCAGTAATTACTATATTTTAGATATTTATTTATTTAATGTGTTTCTGCAACTGTTAGAACCACAGATTAACTACTGTGCTTCGCTGGTGTTTTTAATACCACCCAAAGACAGCCACTGCCTGAATCTTGTTACATAGTTCCTGGAATCATTATGCTTAAGTCACTTCTATTCAATGAAATTTTCTGCTAACATCAACAAGAACATTAAAATGGCACATATATAAATATATCTATATATAAATCAACTTCAGATGTATCAGTTTGACCTGTAGCCAGCATTTTTCACCACTTTGCTTAGAAGCAATCACCAATCATACTGACAAAAGCAAATAAAACCTACTCTCTAGCATTTACTTACTATTGTCAGGTGGGCTGCTTGCCAGTACCTCTGGGGCAGGGCCACTGCTCTTCTCTGCCAGGTCTATTGCCATCTGGATGTCCTCAGTCCATTTGTCCATTTCAGCACGGGTACTAACAACGAAAATTCAGGTTTTACTCACTTTCATACAGGCCGAAAGCAAACTCTAAGAAATAGTCACAAGCTGAGATTACTTTTAATTAAAATAAATAAATTCAGACACAAGATGGTAGTTGATATTTTCCTGATAACTTAGTTTTGGTACCAACTTGCACAACTGCCACTCTGTTTTGTGCCATACACTTTTTTTTTAAAAAGTGGCTTTCACAAAAGAATGTACTTTTGGAATTATTTTATGAGCAAAAGAAAAAGGTGCCTCTCTGCCCCACTGTGAGAGCTGCAGACAAATACAGTTTACATGTGCCTGTTGCCTCCACTGAATTACCTTGCAGCAACAACGATGGACTGGTGTTGACCTCGCAGCGTCAGACAATGAGGAACTCCCCATTCCTCCTCACTTTCTTCTATCTGAAAGATAAAAGCCCAAATGCAGTCAGATTGCAGGAAGTACATATTTCTTAAGGTGAAACAGTGAACTGAACAAGCTCTTACCATCAAGGGAAAAGAAAACTGTGAGAAATGTTCACAAACACCAACTTTGAGCAAAGGATTGAGGAAAAAAAATGGTGGCTTGCAAGTAGTTAGAAAACCAGTAAGTTAGTTCTGCAATAACCTCTTAAACCAAAAGCATGGCCTGGTCTGCTTTGTGTCATAGAAAATAGTGGTGTTTTTATCAGAAGAATGATTTATCATACAAAAGGATGTGTTAAAGGCTGGGAGTACTCCAGACACTGCAGCATAACAGTTCTGTTGTGAGCAAGTCCAGGCCAAATGGCCATCAATAATTTAGTAGATTCCTTGAAACACTGGATAGAACTTGAAGCCTTGCAGGTGTTTAGAGAAAATTAGTTACTGTGGTAGTGATTACCTAACTCAATTTTCAGTAAAACAGTACAGAATAGATACAAACCCATGAGAAGTTCCATTTAAAATAATGGGCAGACTAAACATGTTTTGAAGTTAGTAAAAATATTTCTGGAAACATATTAGGTAGCTAAGTGCTACTGGCTTGAACTGCTGTTTTCCAGAAGAATTGCAGCAAGAGCTCCAAATGACATACTGCTGCCAGTTTCCCACTACTCTGGCTTTAAGATACAGAACTGGAAACATTAGGAAATGGGATTTTTTTATAGAAATGAGATTGTCACAACTATTTACTTGCCTTGCACAGTGCATCTATAAGCAATTGGTGATGAATTACTTGTAAGAATCATGGCTGAATTAATTGTTGAAAAAAATAAAGAACCTATCTCAGGAGAAGTTTGCATCATGTGGAAGCAGCCCCAAAAATGCCTTTTTCCCCCCCCACTTTTTCTATATAACCACCTTGTGCAGAAGGCTGCATGAACACACGAACCCAACATGGCCCCATCAGCAACTGCTCTGAATCAGAGAACCCTCCCTTTGCTGCTGCTTTCAGCCCAGCAGAAAGTCAGCAAGCAATTAAGATGGGGCCACAAATGGCCATTTAAGCATGAATCCCTTACATTCTCACAATACTTACTGTCATGCCATACAGTGGAAGGTGCCCATGGACTTTAAACTGATTGGATGCTGTCAGGCCTCTACTTGTGTACAGCAAGATATCGTTGAACTAGAAGCAGAATAAGCATTATTAGAATGATGCTGGTTGGCATGTTTGTATGAAAATAAAGTCAGAATAATGAACACAGGAAAACTGATTATTTATATGGCAATCCTAATGCATGAATCAATGATTTCCTTCTCATTTGAGTGAAAGGGTAAGTAAGTATGTTCAGGGCAGGTATGTCCAACTCAACCCTTATGAACCGAGTGGCTGTCTATTACTCCCCATATTCAGAAGGAAGCTGGAAGACCTGTTTCAGGTTTGAAATGCCAAGGTGAAGACACTGAGTATCTCAATTTGTAGAGCTCCCTGCATGTAACAGCAGTTGTGCAAAGCATGCTAGATGACTGCCTGCATTTTGTTGCCATAAAATGAACGGCGTATTTTCACTGTGTCACCTGGGTCAAAGGATGTTTTTCTTAAGCCAGACAGTTGCATCTAGAGAATCATATTCTGTGGTGTGAAACACAGCTCTCACCATAGACCTCTACAATTCAGCAGCAGTAATTCACAAAGCTTTGTGGATCAGCCACTAGAGGGGGATTTAATTTTGCCAATCATTACACATGTACTCGGTATCCCACAACACTGACCCAGGATTTTACCTCCAAATAAGATTCTGGTGCTTGAGACAGATCAAAGACTTTGACAGTGTGAGCAACTGACTTGAGAGTCTAGTCTCAGAGTTTTAGTGTTTTATACGGGTATAATGACAAGGCATCAAGTGTTTAGAAGAACTGTTGGTATGCAAGGAAACATGCACCATATTCACTAGGCTTCCTCTTAAGTGCCTTTAAAGGCAGAGGATAATCCTACCCAGGTAGATTAAGCAGGTTATACCTTTAGCTTATTTGAAAGATTAAATATCAAACACCTTGTAAAACCTAAACACTCACGAGCTTTTCTACACACCTACTGTCTTCACCTTTTGCATGCAGGAAGCCAAGGAAGTATTTTTCTGCCACACTGCACTCTTCAGTGTTTTGCCCTGCCACATCAGATTAGAAAATCTGTGCACTCTGCTGGACATCCCAGTGCCCTGGCAACAAGGAGTCAGCAGCAGCTAGATGGGGAGCTTGGGAGCCAGTCAGCAGAACAGGAAGAGAGGAGGAACCATCTGCTCAGCTCCTGTGGATCGGAGATTGAGTGTGATCATTGTAACCTGAAAATGCTGTGAGTGATGGTGGGAGGAGATACCCTTTCTCAGAGCAAGAGCTACAGAATGTATATCCCGGTAAAGGCAGGTCCATCAGCAATGCTGGGCTCTTGTGGGCTCTAAACTAGATGTTTTATGGAAAAACCTTGCTCTGTTACATGTTCTGAGAGCACTACGTGGATTATTGTTCATATCACCAGGAGTCACTCTTTATCTTCTTTTCTCAATATGATCACTATCCCTGGTGCTGCTTTCTGTTTTATAATTACTCTGCTTTTATTTAAGACAAGGTGCTAGAAGGTATTATTTTATCATTATATTCACATCATTGTATAAAAAGTAGTTTTATCTTTGTAAGAGGCAGTTACAAAGAGAATATTGGACTCGGACAGAAATGTAAGTTCTTAACAACCAGCTACAAAGGTGATGTATTATGCTAATTTCAATAAGGCTGTTTAAAAATACTTGCTGTAATTCACAATTCAAGTCTAACAGTTGCCTATAGTTACATTTTATTACATCAAGAATAACTGTCTTCTTGCTTACCAGAAAGAACATCCGTTGCTGTAAACCTTTTCCAGACAACTTACTAAGACTGCCCAGTCTAATAAACTCCTGTGGGAAACAAATACAAATCACAAACTTATCTCCTGCAAAAATGATGACTTTTTTAATTATACAAACAAAAATATGACTACTTGATCATAAGAATGACTTGAATACCAGGGACCAAGACTTTTAATTTTATTTATTAAATGTTAAAAATCTTATTTCTAGGAAGTCTTTCCATTCATAACAGTCTTTAGGATAAACTTTCATTCATTTTAAGAAAATTCAGCTAAACAAAATGGTTCTTTACCTAACATTCATTCATTCAGACAGCTCCCCCTTTCATTAGTTTTGAATGAATATTTTTCAGGTACAAATGACATAAAAACTAATGATAAATTGGCCTGTATGTTATTGGTTAGCCACTGGTAAGCTTCTCATGTGCATATGGCACACTTAGCTCTTCACTGCACTGTAAAATCAGCTACACAAATCAACACCACCATCAACAGCAGAAAAGAAAGGACATTTGTCTTGCAGTGTGAATTATACCAGTACCACCCATGTCACATGCCACATCACATTAATTCAGATGAAACTGTTTAAGAATGTTTAGGGATGGAACTAGAGGAAAAGCAGCACATGTGAAACTTTCAAAATGCTGAGTTTCCTGGGCTCACAGTCAACTCTGCAGTAAATCACCCTTCCACTGACCTGAAACCCATGAAAACAGCATTTTTCAGTCACTCCCTCCATCTTCTGCCAAGAAGTTTATATTTTTATTAGTCTTTCTAAGGTCATTCTACTCATAATTGTCAATGTAAAACCTATATAAAGCATCAGAATCACTTGCAGCTTAAGAATAAACTGGCTAAGATTAATCTGTTCAGAGAGACAATCCAGCTGCCTTAGGCTTGCTGTGATGTGTCCAGTCCCCTCACCTGCAGTGCTTAAGGGCTAAGGGCTGAGAAAAGTGGCTAGAGGTTATATACACAGTAGGTTCATGTTACCAGAGAGGCCACTGGAAGCTGTTGTTGGCTAGCAAAGAATATTCATCATAATTAGCATTCATATGGTACCACCTGATAGTCACCAGCAGGCTTAGCACCACCATGGCAAGTGCTGTGTGAACAACACTGACCAAGGGCTGCAGGTCACTGCAACCTGCAAGCACAACCAGCCATGGGATGTTTTGATGTCCAGTATAAGAACCAGCTTGGTGGCAGGAGAGATCCCACTCTGGGACAACGTGAAAAGGATGGGGTTACAGTGACATTTGCCTCCCAGCCCAACCTGCACTAGGGCAGAGACTTCAGCAGGCGCCTGCAAACAGCCAAGGGGCTGGAAGCAGCAACATCTTGGGTATGTGCCAGAGCGTGGTGGCCAATGCTCCTTGCCTTGGTGGGCAAAAACCTCTGCCCCCCCATCTGCCTTTTCCTTGAACTTCCTAGGACAGGAAGACTGCTCACCCTTTAAATAGACTGGGGTAGCAGAAACACCCGATGACAGCATTTAATTTCATGTGATAGAGAGATGGATGGGCTGTGAAATGTCCTGAGGGGCTTGCCAGGGATGTGAACAGTCTGGATCACTGGAAAGAAGCATGAACCATGGCAGCTGCTTGGAGACAGGAAGAGGCAAAGCGAGGGAGCAAGGAACAGCCTCAAACCAAGAAAAACCTGTGCTCATCACTGCCTTCCCAACGGCACAGCAGCTCAAAGCTCTGGCATTTCAGTTGCTGCAAGCACTGTTTTTGTGCATCACACACAAAAATCAGGGGAGTGGGGAGGAAATTACTTCAGCAATAGACAACTGTCAAGTTCACATGCACAGATACGTGTGCCTAGGAAAATAAAAAAAAGGCTACAAATATTACACTGTGGCTCATTTATTATGAAATAAGCCTCTGCTTTAAAAAGGACATGACACATAAGAAAGATATGTCGGTATTTTTATAACACAATTAGAAGTGTTTACTTAAGGCAACACTGTCTCAAAAATTATTGCCTAATGTTACATGTAGACCAAAGAGACTGCTCGTCCCCTGGGCCGTGAGTTTCAAAGCTAGGCGTAGTGAGAGGGCTGAAGGTCCTCCAGCACAAATGTCTTACTTTCCTTTAATCTGTCATGCTCTAGCACCAAGGGCTGGGGAAAAAATGTAAGGGCAGCATCAAATGAGAAAATATGCAACTGCTCAAGCTCTGAACACTGTGATAAATACCACATTTTTACCAACTCTGTTGTAACAGACGCTTGGAATTGCCTGCAACTGCCCAAATCTATACAAAAGACAAACCTAACAAAATCAGTAAGAAGGTAGAGGATTGCCTCTTCCACTTCAAAGGCTGCTGTTTCCTATGGCATTATTATGCTTACATTTGGCTTTTTTTTGGCAAGAGAAAGAGTTCCAATATGAGGAAAGGCAATTTCACAGCTGCCCCTAATAAACAGGCTTCTAAAACACACCTAATGCTTTGAAATGGTATCAAATCTTGATCACAATCCAGCTACTTACCCTTCCTGGGATCACCAGATTGTCCATGCCTATCAAGTCTTTCTTGAGTTCATGCAGCTTCTGGAAGTTCTCCATCTTTATCATGCTGCCGTGGAGCTGAGCCACCATTTCAGAAATCTCAGCCAAAGCAGCTAGATGGACAAATCCATAAAGTGCTTATTAAAAATTTATAAGAACGTTCAAAAAGAAATATGGCTTTTGTCTGCAGCACCCAGCTCACGAACCTTCTTGTGCTACCCCTCCCCTTCACAGTGTAAAGCTACTCAGGCAGACTAAAACCTACACAAATTCTGGACATCATCTTACAGAGTGGAGAGAGTGGAGTGTTGTAATGAAGAGACAACCAAAAGTTTTCTCTACTGTAGCCACAGAAACGTTGTAGGAGCACTTGAGTCAATTTAGAGCACCAATGAACAGGTTCTCCTAAAGGACTTAATTTCCCTGCCTGTAGCACACTGGGTCAGGTACATATTTGAAAACATGAGGAAATGGTAGCATGATTTATTGTATCATTTCAGATGGCAAACACGATAATTTTGGGGGTTGTCCTCAATCCCAGCAATAAGAACAATAAAAGGGCTGCAATCTGAACCACATCATGGCACTGCTTCATTCCTTCCAAAGGCACTACCAACTTCCCTGTGACATGTGTGTGAGCACCAACCTTGACACACCTGAATGGACAGGCAGGCTCTGAATGGGCCCAAGACACTGACTGACTTCAATGATAGAAGAGCAGTCACAGCCACTTGTGTTAAAAAAAACAGTCAAGGGGACAGTAACAGTGGTTCCTTCTTACATCATTGCTCAGCACACAGCCCATCCACCTGCTAGTGGAAGCACCTGTGCTCTCTGCTGGGATTCAATCCACATCTCCCTTTGTCTTTCTGCTTCCTTTACACTCTGACCTTTAACAAAAATCTGCAAACACTTCAGTAAGAGACTGATCTGAGAGTGATGGTGCCTCTAAGTCACACCGCCCTTATGCTCTCCTACTTTCACCCATGAATCCTGTGTTTATATCCACTTCAAAGTGCAGCAGAAATCAAACCTTGATGGCTGCTGCACTCTCTGGGGAGGTGGGAATGGACACATCACTCTCATCCTCTAGCCTTGGCTGAAAGAAATGAAGGCATTGCTTCCTGCATTCCATTTAGGCAAACATCCGAGTCACGCAGCACTTCAGAGCCACAGAGCTCTGTGGCATTTCCTATCACCACAGGTCAGGGTAACTCTGCATTTTGTGTGCTGCCTGCTATGGGTCTCATCACACGGATGTCTGAGGGAACCTGGCCAGCTAACTCAGCTAACACCTTATGGCTGGGAGCAGTCATGCTGAGCACTGCTCCCTGCCCAAGTCCTTCTGTGGATCTGCACCGATGCTAACTGTACAGAGGGACCTGGAGAGGCTGGAGAGATGTCCTGATTCCAAGGGGATGAGGTTTAACAAGGCCAAGTGCTGGTCCTGCACTTTGGCCATGACAATCCCATGCAGTGCTCCAGGCTGGGGACAGAGTGGCTGGAGAGCACCAGGCAGAAAGGGACCTGGGAGTTTGGATAGATAGAAAGCTGAATGTGAGGTAATCTGTAAGGTCTATTCCAACTCCTAAAATTCTATGATTCTATGAAATCATCAGAATGAAATAGCAGGCAGTGAGTTCAGACTACAGGAAGAAAATTTCTTCATGTCTGAAAAAAACAACCAACCCATTCTGGCAGCTTTGAGTTCCTGAAATAAACCATCGAAAAGTAACACAGCAAACTATGTCTTGAAAAAAAGACAAATAACACTTAAAGATACAAATAACAGCAGCCCTACTGGGTCAGACCAAGGGTTCACCTGGGCCAATATTTTGTGTTCTTAGTGGATCTCTAGGGAAAGCTAGGAACAAGACCAGCACATACGGTATGTTCCCTGTGCTCCAATCCAACTGTTTTCAGTTCAAGAGACTTCCTGAACCGCCTGTCATTTCTGTGTATTTAATAACCCCCAGCAGAATTCTCTTCCAAGTACCTGCCCAGACTGTGGCATAATGTGTATACAAGAGCAACCTTAGTCATTTTGTTTCCGGTGTTCTGAGTGCTGGATTTTGCAACTCAATCCTCTTTTGATGTAGGCTTAAAAAATGATGTTTTTTTGGTTCAGCCATACACCTCTAATGGATTTGGATGTCATTCCCCAGCTCCAGGAACTGGTTTCTTTTCTCTTACTTACCTCTTGAATCCCTGAAGTCTGTGTGGCTTGGAGGGTAGTGCTTGCACAGCCTCTCCATTATCTGCTTGTAGTGCATAAGTCTGTGTAAAGGTCTGAGCAGGAAGGTATTGAGAGGCAAATAGCAGACTTTCTGTAGCTCAAAATCTCTGCAAAAGGTCTCCAGCTTGCGAGAATTCTTGATCCCATTCTCCAATTCCATTAAAATCTCATTGTGCTTCCGCAGGTGAATTGTCAGTTGCTTATATGCACAAAAGGAAAGGGCATGTGTTAGAGCTCTTAACAATCACTGTGAGACATGACTCAGCCCAAACCTGTTCCAATAAAACATCCAACTAGCACAGCAGTGGGGATTTTGCAAACAAACAACACAGTGACTCCAATATTCACTTGCAAAGGAGAAATGGCATTATCCGTTTGAAATGACACCCCCACCCCCTCTGCATTCCTGTAAAACAAAAGTACATGAGTCAACAAAACTAAGTCTCTTAGCAGTGAAAATCCAAAGGCAAGAAGATGACATGAACATATTTCATGCAAGTAGGTGCAACAGGGAGGCAGCCAGACAATGTGAATGCAATGCAGAGCTAGGAAAGAAAATGGGATTTTCTAAAAGGATGAAGAGATTTAGATGCCCCAGCTCCCTTAGGTGCTTTTGGGGAACCGAGATGCAGGCAAATAGACTTGTAGCTTCTGCTTCCCTCTTATTAATAATGAGAAGTGGCATCTCTTGGAAATCTGAACAAATACAAAAACAGAGGCATTGTTCAAAAGAAAGGGATATCTTAGAGTCCTTCTTCTCTGACTGCAGCCTCTTCTCCTTGGTGCAGTCTCTAAGATGATCCCACTGGCAGCAGGGGAGCTGTGCACCAGCAAGTGAATGAGTGTGCATGAAATACATGATTTCATTTAGGTCTCAGTGTAAGAGATATTCACAAGTTCACTTTAAAACAATTCAGCAGTATTTGTTTTAACAATTAACACAGGGAATTAATCTGTGTTTTGCAAAAGGTGAACTGGTTCTTCAGGATGCACAGAGCTTTTCTGAGCAGCCAAATAAAGCTTTCCAGTATCTGGTAGAATATTAAGCAGCAACAAAAAGAAATTGAATGCATAAATTGAATGGACTTGAGAAGACATTTTAGCTTAATCTGAAGTTTGTGCTTTTTGACACGTTTCCAGTCAACTCCCTCTCTCCTGTGATTTGTGACATGTTTTCCAGAAACATACCTTCCCTGGAGCCAAGCTGCATCCTCCACACACTGCATATTCATTTTACAAGTTTGTAACTCAGGCAAAGACACAGCAGACCCTGTGGACTGCTACATTAATTACTTGCTCTTAACTTCTTTCCTATGTTAATTAACCAAGGAGCGTCAGTTTTCAGGCCTTTTAACAGGTTGTGTGATAAATAAGCAGGGTTTTAAATAACTTTATTGTTTCCTGTGCAGTTCTTTTAAGTTAAACTGGGGTTTGTCTCTTTCCTCCACATATCAGCTTATAAGTGGTGGTGGGTCTCAAAGCAAATGAAGTGAAAACCACTAATGGGAAAGGTGAAAGCATGCTGACAGGTCTAAGTTACAGTGAGGACTGTACACTGCCTTTAGACTAGTGCCCCAGAAGGACTTGCAGACAGTAAAGGACAGACAATTTAATGTTGCACGGTACCAAGAGCAGAGGCAGAGTCTGCCAGAAGCTCTCTGGTACTCTAAAAACTATTTGTGAAGAGGTACATACTTCTTGAGAGCAGGGATGGAAGTAGAAAAGTCCCCTCTATGCTTCTTCCAATGTATCTGAATTAGGTCTTGAGGGGAATAAGCAGTTCCTGGCTAAGTACACTGCAGAAAGGGTAAGGCTGCCTTAGTGGTGACAAGGTTGTCTATGCTAGGAACTGTAAAGTGAGATTTCTACATCCCCTTTTTCTGATCTGCTCTATAATCACTTGCACATCACATCTCTCTCTGTCCTTCTGAAAGATAAACCTAGTACTAACTAACATCTCGGGAGAGCTGTAATGATTAAACTGCCCTTTCCTCCAGCCAAGGACTCAAGGCTGCTTCATTTACCAACTGCAGAATGCCCAAGTGGCAATTGCTGAGGAAAGATTTATCCGATAGTTTCAAAAGCACTTTGAGACCCACATGCCAAAGGTGAAGTGCCATGTTTTGCCCCACACCGACCTGGATGGACAGCTACATTAGACTGAGGTGAGCTTACATCCATACTGTAAAACTCCATAGGGTTTTCACAGGCTCCTGTGCCTGCACTCCATGATATTCTCTCAGTAACACAGAGCATCAGGAATACTGCTGGGGTCACACTAAGAACAGTTGCAAAGTCTGCTGAACATTACCTGGATTTATGATTCATACATATATTTTTACTTGTAGCTTTAAAGGAAGCAAAGGCAATTATTCTAATTGATTCAAAAACCTTTCATCTAACTTGGCAATGCAGTGCCCAAAGGTAAGTTTCCCAAGTCAAATCAATATCCAGGTTATGGTCACTACTCCTGCAATGTCTTAACATGCACATTTGCATGAAAAAGTAAGCACTCTCAGCATTTGAACAGCCTCTTCAGCCAACAAATTCCAATGCTCTGCCTTCTTATTTGAGAGAAAAAAGAACTGGAAATGAAACGTTCCTGAACTTTTGTGTTTGCTGCTTCTATATTTGGAGAGTGGAGGAAAGGGTTGGTTGGACCATTTAAAATCAGTTTGCAATTCTGAAAACTCAGAGCTCACCAAACACCTGCTGCTTCATCAAAGAAAACTCACAGCATAAGCCTTGATTACAATTGGCAAAGACCAGCACAAGAGGCAACATCACATGAAAATGAAAAACATGCTAATGTTAATCCATGTTAAAGCTTAATAGTTATAGAATCATTCCTACCTTCATACTCTGAATGTTCTTTAGCATAACATCTCCGATTCTTTGGTAATCTCCTTTAATGTGAGCATTAGAGCGGCCTTCCCTGTCAGCAACAGAAATGCCACACACTTCAGTCATGCAATAAAACCACATAATTGCTTATAAGCACAGAAAGGATCTCAACAGCTCATTTCTTTTAAAATCCTGACCCCCCTGCTCCTTCGCCCGGAAGCGTCTGAGGAATCTTCCTGAGAGACATGTAATTGCCAGGTACAGTACACCTCTCACCCAGCCTGGCTCTCCCTCCTAACAGAGAGGGCAGGCACTTAACAGAAGGATTACACTTCTGCAGAAAATTGCCAGCATTTTTAAACACACCAGAGAAGGCTGAAAATGCCTTGGGAAAAAGGAAGACATCAAAATCCCATGACAATATGTGGGCTTGGAGCAGAAGGTTAACTCTGCTCGGAAACAAGGACTGAACCCCCTAACAGGACCCATGGGTGTTCCTTCTCTGAAACGCTTTCTGCTTGTGTAAGGGACAGTGGGCTAAAAAAAAAAAAATTAAAATAAATCCATCCAGCATCTGGGTTTGACTCATAAGTGTTACATACTGGTAGGAATTTTCTTTCAGTGTGTCACTTATGGTATTACAAATGCAAACTGCTCCCTCCCACCCAGCCAGCTGCACTTGGGTGAGTGCTCCATTTGGGAGAAACCCAGCTCCTCTTGAAAAAGATCTTTGCTTCTAAATCCATGTGTGAGACAGGCAAGGATAGCATGCTCTGACTGAATCCAAACACGTTTTAGAAAACACAGGAGGAAAAATCAGGACTATAAGAACCTAACTGTTACAGAACTGTTCCAACCAAGTCAGGCTTCCAAAAGAAAATCACTAGGGGAGCATGGGGGAAAGCACTGTCCCCCTCCCCTTTCCAGCTAATACTGCGTCCAAGTTTCCCACAGTGTGGCTTTTTATGTGCTGTCCTCAATTTGCAAAATCTGGTTCAGCTCCTGACAGATCCAGTCCTGGTGTGAGCAACTGCCATTCAGCCAAAGAAATGGCTACCTACTGCCTTGGTAAGGGACAGAAATGAAACCAAGCTCTAAATGAACCCAAGGATAACATGGCCTCTGTTTGGTGTTAGTGCCAAATGTTTTTCGCTCACTTGCAGTAGTTCACACTTTTAAGAAAATTCTGTGTGCAGTGAAGGGAGTAAATGAACAACCAGGTCATAAAACTCTGCATTCCTTAGTCCCAGCAATTTAACCGATGAGGTCCCACACTCACCAAATCATAGAGGACGCAGGAATATACTTTCACTGTCAAGACACACAGAATTTTTTTCAAAGATAAACCCCATATTATCACATGAATAGATGCATATGCAGACATATATTTTACTTTGTAAAGTTAAACATGGTTATGTTCATGTTGGATAATCTCTGCATGCTTTTCTAACTGGGAAATGAGAAAGGCACATCTTATAAATAGTTCACAGTAACATCTATTTTGTCCTTCAACAGACAAAGAGACTCAGTTGATAAACAAGGGATTGCTCCATGTTCATTTGAACAATATCCAGTGTCATAGGCTGCCTTTAATTATTTCGTATTGTGTTAAGTCTCTCAGGCACTCACATGCCTGTTTAAGCAAGGAAAAACAGTTCTCAACCAGATTTTTGGAAGTTTTTCTTTCTGAACTCCAAGGTTACACCAGGGTAGGAAGTTGGATTGTGTCAATGGTAACTTTACCACTGCCAGTTTAGCAAGAGCACTATGTCATATAAACAATGCCATAGTCCAATTGTGCCCAAGAAATGGTCTAAATTGCAAGGAACAGCAGAGGTATGTACAGACATCACAAGACTACAGTCTCCACATGGCCTGAGGATAGAAGTACAATTTCTGTCTCCAGAAAGCCTTTGTCTGTCAACTCATCCCCCTGCTATGCTGCTCCTTGACTTTCCCTTCCCCCATGTCCTACCCATCTGGCAATTCTCCCCACTGAGACTTCCTCTGACAGGTTGTAAATAAAACTTTCCAGCCACTATAGCTCTGCTCAAAGTGCCCCTGACTAAAAGCCACAACCATTTGAAGTCCAAGGCAGTAGCACCTCACTGGCAGGAAGGGAAAGCTGCCTCCACCCGTGGAGCCAGCATGGAGCATCTCATCCCAAACCGTTCACGCTGTGCCGCTGCACACAATCCCAGAAATGACAAAACCAGACACATTTGTGCTGCTGCCAGGAGCAACACAGTATTTGGTCATTATCTCTACAAGAATTCTTGCTTTATGTGTTACTCTCTAACTCTCTGGTGCTGCCTGGATCCTTTCTTATGTCCCTATGTTTGACTTAATCTAATGGACTTCAGCAGTTTTGTACCTTTCTGAGTATGAAAGATATATAGTTATCTATTTACTGCCAAGATGAATATTAAGTACACCATTACAGAATGTGATTTCTAAATAGACATTGCTTTTCTGATCCCAAGGCTACAATACCAGTTGGCTAGAATACTCTTTGCAAATTTCTTATCTACTGGCTAGCTCCTCGAAGGCTGAACCGAAGGGTACCAGTCATAGTGAGTGCTTCCACCAGCTAATATTTACTGCTGTTGTTTCCTGAATAGTCAGGTCCTTATTTCCTAAAAGCTGACCTCCTGGCCCCTCTTCAGCACAGCCAGCACTGACTGCTTGCACAGCATCTCACCACATCGGTCACACACAAAACACCAGGAACAGTTCCCCTCTGTTGGCTTTGGCCACAGACTTTGAGGGCTTTCAATTCTTGCTCTGCATCTTGGCAGAGTGACAAAGAGGGGGAGAAGGGGGTTCCCCAAAAGCCACAGAGAATCATAGAATCATCAGGGTTGGAGGAGACCTCTAAGATCATCAATTCCAACCATTAACCTGCCACTCCACTGTAACCCCAAACCCTACACCATATCCTCCAGTGCCAGGTCCACATGCCTCTTAACACTTCTCGGGATGTTGACTCACCACCTCCCTGGGCAACTTATTCCAATGCCTAGTTACACTAACACTGAAAATTTTTTTCTAGTATCTACTGAATCTTCCCTCACTCCAGCCTCCCTCCAGCTGCTGGCTGAACAGTGAGAAGCTGAATCACACCAGAGCCCTCAGGCCAGGCCAACAGAGATGACCTATGCTGTGTGCACATGCATATTGCTGGAAGAAATAAAATCCTATGAAGATCCAGAAATGTGATGGCAAGGTATTGCTCCTTGTTTCAGCCATTATCCTTGCTTTGATTATTTATTTCCATGCAAATGTTTTCTCTCGCAACAGAAATGATTTTCCCACTGAGGATGGTGCATAGGCATGTAGGCTGTGATGTGGAGCAGAGAGGCAGGGGAAGCTGAAGGCAGGCATGGGGGAACATGATGACTTCATATCTGTCTCCTAAACCCCAACCTCCAACTCTGCCCCAGTTCCATGCTGGGACTCCAGAGTAAACCCAATGCTACACTACCCTCTACCCCATATCCTCAACATGCAAATCCCAAGAAAACAAGAAGAAACCCCAAAAAGAACATCCAAATACATGGAAATAAAAATAAAACCCAAACACACAATTTATCTGATGATGTCTTACTGCTACAACAGCCCAGAGCACAGCAGCAACAAAGAGAGCTCTCCCTGTGGTGTATGTTTTGAATAACAACACTCAGCCTGCTGAGGGAAGAAGCTGCTCATTTGTTGTGCATCAATGGGTAAATTGTTCTTCTTACTCCTTGTTTTCACGGGTCACTGTTTGAACATAGTATCTATCTGCCAGTGACAAGGGACAAAGCTCAGGGGCTAGGATCTTACAACTTTTCATCAGGAGCTGATTTATGGTCCCCAGCTCCATAGAAGATGTAGGAACTGCTTTCCCCACACATAACGTGCTCAAAGACAACTTTTTATTACTTTATTATTAACTAAAGGTCTAATATTAAAAAATACCTGAAACATTCCCCATTACAACTGCCTTTTAAATAAGAGGAATGTTTTGTAATTGGAAAAGAAGAGTCAATGAAAGCAATGAACCCCTTTCCTTGCTCACACCCTGCTATTACAGAGTGCTTCTTACTGCCCTGCCCATTCCAGCTGATGCTGCAGCTGTCCTTTCAGCAGTAAGTGGTGCATGAAACACTGCTCAGAGCCTAAGCAATGTACTGCCAAAGCCATCAGAGCTTCATACAGTCACACCAAGCCTTTGGGGAGTGTGCACACATCTAAAGACTTTGGGCTGGCTATCCCTGTTGTGGGAGAAACCCAATTTACAGCAAGCATGCATCAGTATTGCTTTTAAATGGTAAGGGATCAGAGCAAGTAACACAATCACATGAAAATACACTGTATATGCAATAGCATTTCCTATCTTTTTGTGGCCCGGCTGATCCTGGGCACATCCTGCTGGGAGAGCCAGAGATGAACTCGAGGTGGCTAGGAGGCTCTAGGTGTGACTAATGGATCCTAAACAAGCTATTTCTCTCCCATGATATCAAATTAATTTGAATGCAGCACAGTTCTAATCCCCAGAAGTACCCAAAAGTGACTTCAGCAATGCAAACCATACTCTCAAACTCGAGCCCAACGTGTTGGCACTAAGCTTCTCCTAATGTCTTTGTCTCAGGAATCTGCAATGCATAACCCAGAGATTTGTACTACAATACATACCTCATTTCTGTACATAGGACAAAGACACTTTTGAAACTGTTTTCTTCATCCCTCCTCACCATACATGCAGAACCAGCCAAATAGCCAGCACTCTGCATTTGAGAAGGCAGATAAGGACTGCTCCTTGTTTATGTAAACTGTTTATCAGGCTGCTTTTCCTGAGTGCAAGTACTACTTCTCAAACAAAAAATGGTTAATAAATCAACATTTAGCTCATCCTCCTACACCTCCCTGAGTGCTTTTTTTATTACAGGTTTTCAATCTTGCTTCCATGAATCCTGGCTGAGCCTTCTTCTTTCATATGTTAAGATCTAAGAGCCTTTTTTTTTTTTTTTGCAAATTACCAGCCACACAGTTGCATCTGGTAGTACTGAGCAGCAGCTTTCGTCAGAAGTGCCTGTGATCTGGGTGTCAAACTATCATCTTCCCTGGCAGAAGATTAGTCTGCCTGCATTTCTGGAAAGTACATAACACTTTTTCTTCCTAGCACATGGATAAGGCCAAAACCCACAGATTTGTACTACCTGATGATGGTTTCCTAGGGCAGAAATAGCTATCCTGGCTTGCCCCAGCATTGTTCTCTACAGTGGTCAGTGGTCGACCAAGAGAGAATTTATGTTTCTTCATGTGCCATGTTTTGTCAGCATTTAAAGAAACCAGTGTGGAAACTTGTAATACATTTAAAGAGGTGTGGAAGGATGAGCTCAATTTTTTTGGATGGAACATGATGCTTGTGGCCCAAATGAATAGCTTAGATAATGAAGGAGTAGAACCTAACTGACTTCTCAGATTCAACTGGGCAGATGTTAACGAAGCATGTCACTGCACTGCCCACACCTCTTCCTCCTTGCCACAAAATCTCCCACGCCTGGGAAACAGGAGCCAGCTTTAAGTCACTGAGATATGCCTCCTGTACTGCCTTCCAGCAAAAAGGGTTGGGAACTCCTGCCCTGCATCCAAAGCCTTGATGAAGAGCAAACTGGATGAGCCCTGGTAGCCAGGACCAGGATGCCCATGTGCCAGATGCAGCTCTCCTGGTGCTAACAGGACAGCCTGACGTGTGCTGTTCTCTCTCCCAACTCAAGGAGCTTCCTGCTCTTATCCTCTTCTCTTCCCTTGCTGTGCAAGAGGGCAGAGCACCACCCCTGCCTGCATCCACCAAAGGTCATCCTTGCTCTCCTCAAACCATACAGCCTCTAGTGGGGTATTTCATTTGTACCCAGGACCATGGCCAGTCGCCAGGGCTCAGCACAGTTGGGGTAACTGAGGGGATTCATGGGCAGTGCAGAAAACATGGTCCAGAGCACAGTATCACTGATCTTAGGATGACATGGAATAAAACCACCAGGAATCTGCTCAGTTTCATGGGCAGAAAAAAACTCTGGCTAAGAAAAATGCAGTAGCTTCCTATATTCTGCAGTTGACTATTTGTGTCAGTATCAATCCATATCTTACTAAAAACATTATCACAATACACTGGACACTGAGATGTGCTGCTTTTAGGAAATGCAGTACTAAAGAGAAAAATGGGTGAATTGTGTAAAGAAACAGATCAGATCTGCCAGAATCTATAACCAGGTCAAAAGGACACCTGTCCTTAAGATGTACTGTAGCAAACAGCCCAGCCTGTCTCTGACTGCAGATTCAAATAGTTCAGAAGCCTTCAAACAAGCCAGAAATGCTTTTCATAATGTGCACTATCTGATCTTCTTTCAGACAAATACTAGAAATCTATAGATGCTCTAATAATTTAAAAACACAGAACCATCTAACAATTGTTACACACAATGCTCCCCGGCCTTGCTCTCCTCACAGCTCTCATGCAAAGCATCAGCTTCAGCTTGATCCAAGCCCTAAGAGAGCAGGGAATGGCCTCCTGTAAGAGCTTCCAACACACAGCATGAAGGTTTGAAACAAACCTTAGATGAACACATATCTAGGCAGAGCAAGCAGGCTGAACTGCACTTTAAGCTGATAAAACACACCATCCTACCCACTAGGAGAACACAGATGACTGGTTGCAGGAGGCTTGTCCTCTAGGACAAGCTCTCACAACACACCTGGGCAGCTAGGGGCTTCCAGCAGCTTGATGAAGTCCACAACCCTTTCATTCAAAGACCATTTTTCTTTCAAAGGATATGTAACCCTCTGACAAATGCAGAGCACACTCATGTCTCAGGACAAGCATCCCACCTTCCTCCCCTCATTCACCTGCCTGGAAATGCAAGAGCTGACATAGAAGAGTCATATTTAAATGAGCTGGAGTGAATCCTGCCCAGGCCTGCCTGCAGCTGTGCCACCAGCCCAGCCAGGCCTGTGAGGCAGCTGAGGCAGAGGCTGGGCAGTGCCCTGCACTGTGGTGATGGGCACAGCCAAAACCCACTGGCCTAAACCCACCTAGGGCCAAAGACAGAGGTACCATCGTGGCAGTGTGGACTTTCAGCTAGATGACCTTGAGCACACTGCTGAAGAAATTCCCTACCATGTTGCCACCAGCTTCCTCTTCTGCAAGCTGAGGGGCTGTTTGATTTTGTCACTCGCTGTTTAATTAAACAGTAATCTCTATAGGATAGTTTATTGCTTGCGGCTTATCTCAGCATATGTGGCATTATATAAAAACATCAACACCTCCAAAATAGTACCTGTCAGCAAGTCTGCCTCCCTTCCTAAGGCACACATTCAAACCTTCCAGAACTCTAAAAACAAACAATGCCTACAACAGGGGTATAACATTAGGTAAACCCATGCTGTTGGTTGCAAACTGAATGCAAACCAGGGGCAGGAACGTGACTGTTTTTCTGTCAAGTGAATCAGAGCAGCCGACAGAGAATTCCCAGTGGCTTTATGCTAACTGTGGAAGGACATGCAATAGCTGAGCTGACAAAGTCAGAATGAGGTGCCCAGCTGGGACAAAGTTACCTCAGCAGAATATTTTTGAACGAATTTGGATTGCAAAGTAACTTTGCAGCAGATCAGCACTTTAAATCACAGGGTAACTGCAGTTTAAATATCATATGAGAAGCTGCAAACTGAGGTTTACTGCTCTGTGAAACCACAGGCTTAGGACCCAAGGACAAGCTGGAAAACAAAATACTTACTCAGCTCTAAAAGAAACTAACTGAAAAGGAGAAACAAAATAAAACCATAGAAAGGCTAAAACCCTAAATATTGCTTCTTTCTTTTAACATATCTGCCCCTTCCCTCCACTTACTACAATGCTGTCTTTCCACAGCAGGCTGTTACTGCATCATCAGCCAAGTTTTGAAGACCATCACACCTGAACAGGAGGCTGGTTGGCATCCACCTGTAATGTCACCAGCAACCAGGAGGACATAGGGGCCATCTCTATTTCAACAGGTGCCTCAGGAACCACTCCCAGAAAGCTCACTAGATTAGATGGTCTGAATAGCAGAACTTGGCCCTTTACTAACTGTATACATTTTCCTTCTCTCACCATGCACCCTAGGCCCAACTACACCATGGATGGATATGCAATCAGTATTTTATAACATTTGAAAGAGAATTCATGGAGTACCTGCAATAAATGTTCCTTAGTGGAATGCAATTAACACCAGTAGTAGCCCAATGAGAAAAAGAGTGATACAGGCAGGGTGGTGGTGCAGCACAAGCCTTTGGAGTAACTGTATGTCAAGCAGCAACCAGAGAGGCCTGGGTGAGGATGTCTGCTCTAAGAGGCAGTATCACAATTCCTCTCTTCACAGAAAACACCCATAATTCTGGAACTGTGCAGGGTGGGTTTGGATAGCACTAGTCTGCAAAGTGTTGTGCCCTCATTCAATGATCTCACTCATCACATCACAAGACCTGAACTCACACACTCTGAGACTGTGTTTTACTTTTGTTCTGATTAATTAGTTAAAGAGGCATTAAACTGATTAGCACCCATCAAGTCTGCCTGCTCTGCTTTCCCATGATTTTCCATTGTCACTTTTCTAACTGAGAAGGAAAAGCTCAGCTCCCAGCACCGAAGATAAATTATCAAAAAGAGCCTACACAGAGCAAGACAATCTAGTCCAGACAGGTCTAATCAGAGCAAGCAGAGGGCTTCTGTGTGCTGCTGCCTCTGCTCAGATTTCAGTGGTCAAATGAACTGAGTTAAGAGCACTGCCAGGGAAGAATTACTCACTTCATAGCTATTTCACAAAAATGTTATGTTTTGCTGTCACTGTTACGCTAAGCTCAGCATCCTCTTTCAACACTCCATAATTTGTAGAGTGCACTGTAGACCCTGAGAGTGTCACAGCTGCAGTGCTGCAGAAAGGGAAGCTGGTCTGTGAAATCCCCCCAACTGTATCTATTTTGATAGAAATAGGACCGGGTTCTTCACTGCTCCCTCTTTATTACTAATAAGCCTTGCTTGGAGCATGTTTTTCAGAGCAACTGCCATGTGGAAACACTGAGATTTGGCAAGAGAAAGTCATCTGGAATTATGAGCTTATTTGCATGTGTCTGTACCTAAGATATGTGAACAGAGTTTGTCGAGTAAACACGAACAAAGCACGATTCAATAAACCCAGTCTGTTAATAACCAACATCTGTGCTTTTTACAGACTCATCACCACGGCAGATCACAAAGAATTAGAAAAAAGTGCATACAAAAGTGCTAAACTGCATGAAATAACACAGCTAAATAACAATCAACAAACTTACCACAGAGCAAGTCTCTGCTCAATTTCCTTGAGAAAACCAGAGTGAAATTTGTGCAAAGGTTCGAAGTTGGAGAAAATGAGATTCTGCAGTGTTTCAGGCATGCAATCTTCTTTACTCACTGCACTCTGAAACCACTACAAAGAAAAAAGAAGCAAAATTATTGGTGGGTGGAATGCAGCAGGTATGATCATTTGCTGCTTTTATGCACCTACACCAAATATGCCTAACACCTAACCCAGCACAGACCTTATTTAGCAGGCACTAGGAATACAACCCAGGCTACCCCTGACACTCCTGTGTGCTGAACTGGGGCTCTTATCAGCAGTCAGGCCCTGCATAGTTTAAAAAGAAACTCCCCTCCCCTTTACCATCATAGATCAAATCTTGAAATTCTTTTCAAGGCCAAACTGGTTATTCAATACAAGCGGAATTTGCAAATGCTGTAGGTGCAAGTGAAAGAGCATTGCAATACTTGCAGCACTTGCAAACAATCCAGTAAAAAACATTAAAAAAAAAAAGCTCTGCATTTTCTTCTGCTGAGTTCTGCCTGAAATCCCTTTGACAGGAGTTGGTATAGTAAGCACCCAAGCCCCTGTTGCTGTGTGCAGATAGAGATCATCATACACTTTGCAAAGTGAACAAGTGGAAGACACTACTATCAGAAAACAGGAGGGTCAGTGCCAAACACTGTGTGCTGGTTTGGGCTGGAGTAGTGTTAACTTTCTTCACAGTGGCTAACATGGGGCTGTGTTTAGGATTTGTGCTGAACACAGGATTGATAATGTAGAGATGTTTTTGCTGTTGCTGAGCAGAGCTTACACAGAGTCAAGGCCTTTGCTGCTCCCCATACTGCCACACTGGCAAGGAAGTTGGGGGTGAATGGGAGATTGGGAGGAGACACAGCTGGGACAGGTGACCCAAACTGACCAAAGGGATATTCCATATCATATGACATCATGCTCAGTATATAAAGTGGGAGAGAAGGAGGAGAAAGGGGGAACATCTGGAGTGATGACATTTGTCTTCCCAAGGAACCGTTACGTGTGATGGGCCCTGCTCTCCTGGAGATGGCTGAACACCTCTTGTCTCTGGGAAGCAGTGAATTAATTCCTTGTTTTGCTTTGCTTCTGTGTGTGTGTGTGTCTTTTGCTTCCTCTATTAAACTGTCTTTATCTCAACCCATGAGCTTTTGTAGCTTTTCCCCTTCCGATTCTCTCCCCCATCTCATTGGTGGGGGAGTGAGCATGCAGCTGTGTGGTGTTTGGTTGCTGGCTGGGGTTAAACCATGACACACTGTAAAGAGTTAAACCAGCTCCTGCTCAGTTTTGCCCTGTATTCTCTTTATTTCACTATAATAGACCTATGTGTGACATAAAGCCATAGGACTAGGGGGATTGCCAAGGTGGCAAAGCCTGTTATCTTCAATATGGTAACACTACTCCCTCCTCACTGGTCTGAGGGGTTACAGCTATCTATGCTTGACTTCCAGCAGTGCCTAGAAGGCTACTGGGACCACAGCAGGCTGTTACAGCAGTCTTGTTTTGACACTGCATCAGCTGGAGCTGAGCCAGACCTAAGATAAAGAGAGATCCCTCCCAAGCGTCCCACTCTCCTGCTTTATCTTTGAGCTGAGCAGAGCTAAAGTTGAAGGACATTTACCAAGTCTCAAAATTCGTGCACCACACTTGTTCCTTTCCCAGTGATGCTGGCTACTTGTTCACTCTCACTGGCCTCCTGGGCCAGTCACCTGTGGAGCACAGCTGATAGGCTTGATCATTAGCATACAGTTGTATCTTTCTACTGACATAGCAAATTCAAATTTGCCTATCACAAGAATGAAGGCCAGGGTGGGAAATGGGGTTTAGCTCTGAAGAGCTAAAACTCTCTGCAGTTTCTGCAGTCACTGGGTGAAATATTAGATGAAAACAGCATATCTGCTCTTGAGACCGCAGCAATGACCACTGTAGCTGGGGTGAGTAGCAGTGGAGTCACCTGTTGCCTGTAAAAAACATGCTATATTGGCTGTGTCTAAGCTGGTGTCACATTAGCTGTGTCTGTCATGTGAACTCCTGGAACAGACAAGAAGCTGGGGAGGAGGTGTCTCCCTGGTTCCCAGCTGCTCCCAATAGACTCTCCCCTTCGGCACGTCGTCCTTACCACAACACTCAGCACAGAGTGAGCAATGCACCTCACGGGGCGAGTAAAGAGCTGTGAGATTTGGAACTGGCTGAAATACCATGAGGGATTTTGGATCCAGTGCCCTCTCACAAACAATTGTTATTTAAGGCCAAATCTTCCACATGTTGTTCTTGGAAGTGAAACAGGACTGTTGGTGTGTGTGCAAAGACGTTTTTGCACAAGACAGTATTTGCCTTGGTGATTTTAACAATTGCACTCTGATCAGATGCTACAGATGAATGACTCGTTTAACACACAGTTTCACTTACTGAAAAATCGGAATCAAATATGTAGTCCACAGTATTTCACGTTAAATGGAGGGCATGTAATCCAGTAGAAAACATTTATATGTCCCCCTAAGGAGCTACTTGTAAGAGAAGCCATTGAAAACCCACAGGCATTTTTAGTAATTACAACCACAAAGTATGAGAGCAAGAAAATATAACTGAACTGTGTCCCAAGTTCCTCAACCTGATAGTTTCATAGCACATGTTACCAACCACAGTGAAAACCTCTACTTTTGCTTTTTGTGTTATTTCCTCCCTAGAGGTATACTCCTCTGCACTGCAAAGAATACCTACAGTGCAGAATATAAAAGCAGCATGGAACAGCTAAGATGTTAAATGGAGCAGATGAAATACTACTGCTGACTAGAGCTTCACATGTTTCATGAGCAACGCTCAAGTAAACATACCGATGTGATGACTTCAAGGTCCTTCAGGTATGTTCGTTCTGTAGTTGCTACTTCTTTAGCAATGAAGTAAGCTTTCTCAGTTGGGAATCTCTGTAAATTGCAAACACATTAGGTTTTTATCTGCTTTTATGGAGAAAAAACTGTAGATAATAAATCACGAAGAGAGTTACAAACCAGTGACCCTTGCTTGTGGTTACTGTGACTCATGCTTGAATGTTCCTAAGCCCTGAAGCCTTGAAAACAATCCTTCCTTGCAAAGAAAAGAGAACAAGCACTTTCTATGGATTTTTGAGAGACTTCTTTTTCTGCCAAGGTGATTTCTAGAGCTTTGGGGTGCTGATATTCCTTTCAGTTTATTCCTGGAGCAGAACATATTCTTAAGTTCACAAAGAAATCCTTTGTAGAGTAGATGACCATTTGAATCAAATATAAAATTTGACAAAATTACAAAAAACGGTGTCTGATTATTATAAGCTTCATCATCAGGATGAAAATCCCCAGTAAAAATAGGCTAAACAAAACTCAGACCCGTAAGATTTTCCCAGTGTAGTCTCCCACAACCTAAGAGTGGGAGAAGGGAAGGATTTTAGGGGAAGCTACAGATTTAAAATTTTGTAATTCTAAAGAGCCAAAGGATCCCAGCTGATCTTCTGTGTTGCTCAGGAAACAAAAATGAAGAAAAAAACATCCATAGATCATCTGTCTCTATTTCCTCCCTAAAGACAAATGATGCAATGGACACACTATGAAAGAGATGCAAGGGAAGACTGTGGGCATTTCCTAATCAGTATAAAACCCCATAGGAACCATCATCAACTGGTATATACGGCAGTCTCTGGCTGCTGTAAATTGGACTGACACAGAGAATCCTGAGTCTATTAATTGATTCTTGGCTTTTCTTCTCAAATTTCTCTCATGTATCTTGCTAACTATGCACTGTGGGAAAAGAGATCTTCCTAATGCAAACTCCTGCTTTCCAGCAAAGCCATTTGAGTTCCTGCCTTCTTCCCCCTGAGATGCTCCAAGCCCAGGACTAAAAACAGGCAACAGTAGGACAAAAGCAACCCCCTCTCACCCTGCAGCACAGAAAAGATGAGCCAGCAGGCACCCAGAACACCCTGGCTCAGACAAACACTTCTATCTTCAGAAAGCAGTTTTGGATGTGATGCTTCCTTATGGTTTTGCTGCAATGATGGGTCTGAGCCAAACACTCCCAGCTGAACGCTGCAGGCTGTGGCTCAAAGAGAGCATTTTCTACTCCCACAGCCAGATGCTCCCAGTGGTGCTCCCAGCAGACAGAGACTGGAGAGCCTGTGTTGGACACTCCCACAACAGGCTCAACACTGCTCCTTTCTGTCACCTGGAAATTTTCTCTCCAGTAAAACAATGGAGGTGACTGTTTTGCTACAACTACCAAACTCCACTCCTTAAAAACGAGTTAGATTTATAGAAGATGCTGTCAAAACAAGCTCTTAAGGTTGCAACCAACAGGGCTGGCCCAGATTTATCACAACACATCAACAAAGAGAGCCAAGGCCAACTTCATCTGCCTTACCTTTCTTTTGACCTCTTCCTCATCATCAGTCCTGATGCATGATGGGTCATTCAGCAAAGGGCTGACCAAGGGAGATGACTGCTTGGCATCAGGGCTCAAGTTTGGAGATAAAGTCATATTTGCCACCGATGGTCCTCCTTGGGAATTGATGGAAAGCTCTGAAAGGTGAGGGCTGCCAGTCAGAGAACCTGCTAAGGAAAATGATAAAAGAGAAATCAGTTAGGACAGGCTCTCTCAAGAAAGTACCAAAAAGAGTTACAATCTTAAGTTGCATCATGTGAAATTACGCTACAAAACATAGTCATCAGGGTCCTCAAACTAGCCCACATGGCCCTGAAGCCAGAGGAACTGCATCCACTTCATTAACCAAACGACTGGTTAAGGGTCTCTTTGCTGACAAAACTGGCTGAAATTACTGTCTCTGTAGGGAAGGGATCAAGGCATACATGACTGAGCTGCAATTGTTTACTGTGTGGGTGGTGAGACACCGAAACAGGTTGCACAGAGAAGCTGCGGATGTCCCATCCCTGGAAGTGTTCAAGGCCAGGTTGGATGGAGTTCATTAACCAAACGACTGGTTAAGGGTCTCTTTGCTGACAAAACTGGCTGAAATTACTGTCTCTGTAGGGAAGGGATCAAGGCATACATGACTGAGCTGCAATTGTTTACTGTGTGGGTGGTGAGACACCGAAACAGGTTGCACAGAGAAGCTGCGGATGTCCCATCCCTGGAAGTGTTCAAGGCCAGGTTGGATGGAGTTCTGCCTGATGTAGTGTAGTGGAAGGTGTCCCTGTCCATGGCAGTGGGGTTGGAACTAGATGATCTTTAAGGTCCCTTCCAACCCAGGCCATTCTAGGACTCTAAACATCAACCTAATATTAATTTTTTCCCCATTGTAATCCACTCTATGGAAGAGAATAAGTACAACGATATGGGAATCACCCTAGGAGTGCCATTCTTTCTAGCAAAGTAGAACGTCAAAGACTCAAATCAGTACTTCATAGGGAACTACAGGACACAAATTAGAATGAATTTATCTAGTTGAAGTCTAGAGAAAAATGATGACTTTCTACAGCAGTGTTGCTGCTAAGACCAGTCAGATCTAACATGAAGGGAGAAAACTACTAGTTCCCCAATTTCTACACACAACACAAGTATGTATATTATACCTTGTAGGTCTTTCCATGCTCCTCTGATTGTTTGGGATGGAAATGCTAGCATTACATTTACATAAGAAAAGCAATATTTTTAATGCACAAAGCATGACAACTTCAGATTTTTCACAGACAAAAAGTCCCATTTAATTTTGGATTAAAAATATGAAAGAATAGACAATTAATTACACTTCCACGGATTCATATACACTACATTAAATATTACTGAAATTAGAATTTTTTCTTCTGGGAGGCAGCCAGATTACTGACTGCACAAAGGAAAGTTTGCCAAAAATGCCCAGTGTTCTCCAAGTTATCCCCTCCTCCAAACCTCTGAAAACCTAAACCTGTTTTAGAAGATGGATTTGTCATGTGGAAGAACATTTACAGTCTGTACCATTTTGGCATCATACATTAAAATCCAACCCAAAAGAAATTGTTACAAACACTTGGTTACCACAGCTAGCAGGCTGTCTAAGATTAAATGTAAAACACATACATTGCTGCATATAATTCAGGTAAAATACAATTTACTATCATGTGTTTATGTCCTCCCTAAATTATGATAGGTAAATGTTCCTGTTGCTAAAAGCCACAGCTGAAATACTCTGGTAAATATAATATAAAATAAATATAATTAGGCCAGTAGTAAAACCTATTTATTTTCTGGAAGAACTCAAGATTTATTGCTAGAACATGAATGTTTTCCAATTCCAAACCAGTTCATGTTTATAAATCATTCCTTTGAAAAGTGAAGGAAAAAACCAGTACAGTTATCAGTTTTTGTAATCATGACAGTTATGTAGCCTATTATAAATCAAAGTCAAAGCAGTATTTGTCTGAAATAAAGTTTTGTATTATTACAGCTAGCAAGAAAGGATTTACCAACAGTTTCACACTAAATCAATGTTCAGTGAAATTTGAGAAAATGCCACAGCTTGTTACACAAATGTCAATTTTATTGACACTAGCACACAACTGTATACAGTATTTTCAAAAGAAATGGAATTCATCATTGAGAAATAGTGAAACAGATTAATAGCAAGGTTGTAAGGTTAAAAGTATTTAACTACATTACAAAAGACATAAGAAAAGTGATATCACCTCAAATGTGGAAACAAAGAAATTCTGGCACTATGCCTGTCATACGACAGCGAATAAATGATTTGCACCTCTGTGAGAAGTTCACAGGCATTGTAATCTAGAAGTTAAATAGCACCTATCTGTGATAGATAGATATAGATACAATGACATATCTACTTACCTATCTATAATCCTAGATCTAACGTCTGATGTACCGAAGCTTTTATCAGTACAACTCAAGTATTTCAAACTACAAAAATATTGAACGGACAATGAATTAAAAAGACTTCCTACCCTACATCTGGAAGACATAACTTGGGAAAAGATTATGAAAAGCATCACAAAAAAGTGTGCCTGGTGGCTCACAGCATTGCATATACACCCCACTGATTAAAGACTTGCTCATCAGTGCATCACTGACATTCTCCAACTGATTCTGCAGCAAGCTGACATGCTGCATCCTCATTTTTTTTATCAATGTGGGCATGAGCAGTGACCAAATCCAATCATCACCACCTACAAGTAAGAGCTCAGTTAGACCCATCTGTCAATATGCTGAACAAGTGAAAATTAAAGCTAGGTATAAAAAGTGGCTACATTAGAAAAGGGCCTCAAAGTGCTCTTGCATTAGTACATCCTGGGGCCTAATTACAACCAACACAGCCATAAGGATCAACAGATTGGATGTTGCTCTGGTAAAGGTGGGAAGCAAATTTGCTTTGCTGTGAGAAAGTCAGTAAGCCATGAAGAAACAAAAATGGAAGGCCTTTTTTTGCCCATGGCCAATCAATCAGGACAATCAATCAGTCATGGCAATGCTGCAAAGTGGCTTTCTCTTTTTCATGGAGGTGAGGAATAAATAACCTGAATTAACCAAGTGTTCCATCTGACCTCCTGCCACAGAAGAGTATATTCATACAGGCTCTACTCATCAACTACATACTGCAGAATACAAACAGAAGCAGAAGGGAGAAGACCAATCTTATTTACAAGGTACTGAAATTGCTCACATTTTACCCTAAAGGATTCATTGACTGACAGGCAATTATTTGCACATCAGTTGCCAGATATCAAATGGTACTGCACATTGGAGGTCTAAAATGTTTGCAGCAGGTAACATGGAATTGTCTTTGCTCATACTACAAGTCATCTTTATTTAGATTCAGACTTGGGCCATCTTTCAAATATAATGGAGTCAGCTGTATATACACAAACCAAGACACAAGTACAAAAGGATGTTTATCTAAGGATTGCTTAAGTACATACTAAAATTATATCCTTGGTGGAGTGGGTAGGAGTTAATAAGCATGTGCTTCAATTATTTTCTAAGCTTGGGTTTAGGAAGAGAAACAAACACTGGCTGATGACAGTGGCAAATAATGAGAATACACATTACCACGGTATGCAAGACTGGCCCATCCATGCCAAAACACCTGGAGTGGTTCTTAGTTCCACTGAGCTAGTTTACTCTCCAGGCATTGAGAAGAAGTGCTGCAGCAATGAAGGTGACAGAAAAAGGTAAAACTTGATTGAAATCTAACTCAAAAAACCCCAACAATCTATGAAATGACAATGGCATTTTACACGGCCACAGGACATGAAACTATGGGTTATCTTCCTAGCTTCACACGTGTCTCAAATCACTCCCCACCAACATACGTGCTCCATGTGCTACACAAAATGAAGCCAGTGGCTGAAATCAAATACAAGCTATACCTCTGTCAAAATACACATCAGTTGCTTGCTGCAATTTGGCGGTGGGAAGGCACAGAGCACTGGCAAGCTGTGGATGCCCTGCCAGAGGGGGGCAGGCTGGACTCTGCACTTGGCTGGCCAGATGTGATCCATCCCACCAGCCACATCTGCCTTACTCTAGGCTCCCATCACACACAGATGTTAACCCATAGGGACTGGTGCTGAGGTTGGTGCCTATGGAGTGTTGGGCTGGCTGAGTGATACTGCTTTAAAACATGGCTCAGACCAAGGAAAAAGCAGTTAAAATCAGTACTTTCCTACTGATGTCTCTTCCAGGGTCAATTCACATCATAGGTGACCTGAACTGCCTGCTGCCTCTTTCTTTGTTGACTACATAGACAGCATAAGTTGATCTGAAATCCCTGGTTGAGAGATTTTAACCCCCTCTTTGTGAGAGAGACAAATGGGACAATGTATCCTGAAGAAACTTCTCCTCTGTTCCTTTTCTCCTGAAACTGCTGAATAATAAACTTGGGACACCTAGTGTTCTGCATTTGCTTCAAAAGAAACACTTCCTATCCATACACGCTGTTTTTTAACAACGAGGAAAGTACTGCAGTGTTAAGATACTCATGGGAATGCACCTTCTCTGTGGAGCATCAAGAAGTGAAAATTACTCAATTATGGAAACTGAGAGAAATCATCAACCATTACTGAAGGTGACTAAAATTCTGCTGGAAAACTTCATGGACAACTTCAGAGCTCACCAACTCAAGTGTTCAGAGTTATACTGTTCTCAAGGTTATTATTATTATAAATTAAAACATATTAAGAGCCAGAAATGCACCTTTCTCCATAGCTGAACATTGCAGGGCTTATTCTCTCTTAGACCTGCTCCACAGCCTGCTCTGAAGTCAGGGGATGCTTGTTACATCCCTATCCCAGTTACTCTGCTTTACGTCAGATCAGTGTTTTCTGAACTCCAGTTTGGCAAATGAAACCCAACTTGTTGCCCCTTTGTCCTTGGCATTAGTGGGCATACCACTTATGAAGGCTCTTTAGTAAGAAAGTATCTAACAGAGCTGCTGTGGCCACACAGTCTAGCTTAATTTCTCATTGTCACAGTGGTTGCATAGCTCTAACTTGTATCCGGAAGTTTTGGTCAGAGAAAGATGCATAGTACAAAATGACATGGGGAACAGATAGCACCAGGTGAAGTAGCAGGAGTTTGCATATGCACTTCACCAATCACAGAA